CTAATAGTATTTAATGATGTATAAGATATTACATTATTATATCATAATAACTGTAAGAACAGAATTCCAGAAGTCTATAATTTCATCGTCTGCCCTTCCAAGGATTAGGTGATCTAATGGACCTGTGCATGCCGTCGTGATAGGTCGCTTTTTGTCTAGGTTAACGAGATCCCTAGCGGTTTCTACGGTTCGTAATACCTAATAATAAGAAGTATCTATTTCTGCATCCATTTCACTACTACTTGTCAAAATGACCGGGGCCAGCCCGGTAGGCGATATGAGAATTTGCTAAACGGGTAACTAACCTGCGTCTGAGCTGCGTATGTAACAATTATCTCACCTCGAACGGTATTACTGTAATATACCGAATCAGATGTTATCATGTTATAATAACTAAAGATGATTCATTCCAATAGCAAACAAGTAAATCGGACAGATCTCCTATAGGAACATAACAAATGTATGATGATTTTTGGTGAAGAATGTAAGACTGCCTATATACCTGTTATGATGAGCCATCAAAAAATCATTAACATCTTCACCTAGATGAATAGAAAAGCTACGGTAAGCCCGCTAACGACCTTAACACCGTTTTCTTGAGTCTCGTGGTACCAATATGTTTCATTTTGAATGCCATGGACGAGAGTGCCGAAAACAACCGTTACCACGTTCGACTGGACAGCTACAGCGGCTGGACTTAAACAAAAAGCATATGTATTTTTTGCCTAATAAAGGGAATTTGCAGTAATCAAATTTCGTTTATTAGGCCCAAATGGCCGCGTATCCTAACCACATACCTGCAACGCTTTGTTCCACTGAACCACCGCAACGCGCTAAACGACAATAATCCGTTTGTAACGTTCGCAATCACTGGCGTAGTATCTCGTTTGTCTACTTGTGTAATTATTAGGGTAGTCAGCGGTGCCTCCACTGGCTGGCCTTACCTAGCCCAAAATGATTTTATCATTTTTTCGAGATTATGGACCCCCTTGTGGCAATTACAGAGCGAGAGAGACAGATATGGTTTATAAGCAAATTTATAAAGTCACTCATCGTCGACTTTCACTGGAATGTATTCACGTTGGAAGGTCACAGAATTTCGAAGTCAATAGTTTCAAAGACAAATAATCTGTTTTTGGGTAATTAGTCAGGCGGCAATAGAAACGCATTACTAAACGGTTTTTTGGAAGAGATTAAATTCGACAAAGATGAATGGTTCACAGATATTTTTTCCGTTTATTTTTTCAGAACTTCGATAGCCTCCACTAGATATTTTTGTACTATTCTAATTGTCAGATAACGTGGGTTCACGCCGGGTAAAGAAATACGGATAGGTAAACACAGAATAATCTAAAACCATCTTAAAATCTTTTTCATTGAACTTTTGAGCCTCCAAAGATACGTGCCATCATATCGAAGTGGCAAGTTAGTTAGGAGCGATCTCCAGTTTTTTTATATTAACAAATGGCTCTGACGGCTTAGTAGACACGTTACGATTTCAAAAAATTGTTTTCAAACGGGTGATTTATAGCCTTTACCAGATCATTATATTGTTCCGTGATTGATTAGACCTGCAAAATAGATTTGTTCCAGACCATGCTTATTAAGTTTTAGCTAGATTGAATTGTTAACGAAATTATTCACTTTGAATATTAAGTCTACATGCACATTCTGTGCTTAACTAAATTGAAGTATGCAGGTTTCGCGTACTACTAAACCTATTTGCATTATATGTTAATCATAGACTTTCTGATGGAGGGTAACTTGAAAGTTATTATTATTATTACTCGTTATTTCACTTTGCATATTATCAATCAATTGGACTAAGTAACTCAACACTGTATTGCCTTTTAGTCTGCACACACTTACTTTGATAGAGTTGCCTGGTCTAGCTATCGCTGTTTGCTTAAAGAACTTTTGGAGCTTACTAATCTCTACATGTGGCCAAGAGATGACGCGAATTCTCCAAATGACAGAATACATGTGTCTTTGTCTATGAGGCAGTCATTTTATCATTGTCAAGTGTTAAATTATCTTGGTAATATTGTGACACAGAGAGACGTTTTTATTAAACACATCACGAAGTATATACATTAACGCACATACATAAATTATGATTTGCTGATTAATTGTGCACAAACGGTTATGCAAAATCATATTGGTTGTATAGTATCGTAAATTAGCTCCTCATAACTGTTTTTCACAACTGGGGCAAGAGGTTGCATGAAAGTGCAACTATTACTGGTTTGCTGGATATCGAAATATCGATATCGTACGGTAGACAGCCGGTGGCTACTGCTGTGACAATTAGCAAATGCAAACAATATCTACACAAACCAAAAAGATATCGGACATGTTCTACTGTCGATGGAGGAACATTGCATACTAACTTTTAAACAATACCGCATATAGGCCTGATGATGCGCAATAAAAGGTAGCACTGATTGGTAAGCTAAGGAGGATTTCGACGTTGTATAATTTTTTATACAATGCGTTTGTTAACAGGTCGTGAGATGCACGAAGTGCAATCAAGGAGGAAATATTGTGTATATGATACAGACGTATTAGGCTGAGGAGACCAATTTTCTGCAATGATGTCTCATGATTTTTACTGATGTATGAGTACCTGGCAATATAAATAAACCGCGCGTAGCCTAGCGATGACTTGAATTTTTCAAATGACCGAACACATGTTTCTCTATCTATAAGGCAATCATTTTATCAGCGTCAACGGTTGAATAGTTTTTCGAGAGATATAGTCTGGTCTTGCTGAGAATGTCTAACAATGTTGTTATTGGCAGTTTAGTTAGCGGTGGCACATTTACATGAATTTGGATGAATGAAAAGTAGATAGCAAACAGGTTGAAAGGTGAAATTTATCCATGATTTTTTTTGTAACATTGAATTCACATATTTATAGATTAACCATAAGACTAAGATATTCGAGTAACTTGACATCTGATGGCCACAGAGCTCCTAAAAGATACTCGAATGTTTTAACAGCTCCGTTCTGTATAGACTTGTCTATACCTGCCTAACATCAATAAGCTCGCCAGACACATAGTCGTGAATGGACTCAATAAATTTTAGAACTTAGCAACAAGAACTTAGAACCGCTTGTTAAACAGCTCGTAACTTTTACACCCAAACCTCGAAAAACTTTAACTTATGCTGTATAATCAATCAGACGTGGGCAAATCCAGTGGCAACGGTTCTCCTCAATTCTGATCTTAAAGTTTTTTGCGAACAAGTTGTATTTACCCGCTCACAAGCGCACCAATAGTCTTCTTTAAGCTTTGCCTAACCGAACAACTAAACGAATGTAAAACAAGACGACTGGTGCTCACTTACTGTTAACGCATTTCGACACCTACAAGGTCAGAGTATCCAAGTCATATATAGTATTTTAGTCATAATACTCTCATCGCAGCTATTAGTACTTTCTACAAACGAATCAAGCATTATAATACACTTTTGAGATTTTAATAAATGTTAGTTTCAGATCTTGTTGGATTGCATTCATATGAACTCTAATGATTGCAGCAGAAATCCTGGCACGGATTTTGTTAATACGAGAATGACATACTTTTTTGTGTTAAACCAAATGAGTGAACATCTAAGAAAAAGCAAAATGACTTTAGGACAGACATAACCCCACAGGTTAAATAATGATGGGTTCTATCCACAATTGCGATAATCAAAATTCTTCTTCAGAATCTTCTGCACCCTTTTTATTTGGATGGTCATACAAACATTATGTTCAATATTTTTTTTTAATTCAATTATACGCAGCTAAGTAATTAATTGACGCATAGTTTATTTTGCTTCACCGCACATAGTCTGATGGCAGCGTGTTGAACTCGCCATAACGTATGTTAACATCAGCGGCTAAATATGTAAACAGATTTTTTTATACATGTTTTAAATTTGCCATTGTACTAACTTTTCACCAGTGCTATACCGATGAAGCGAAAAACGTTAACGAATTAATTGTCCAGGAACTGATAAAAGCCATCTGACAGAAAATAATTTCATACGCCTATAGCACAACTCTGGAACTGAGTATGAAATTATTTCCTGATCTGTTGTTAATACTGATATTAATATCATGGCAAGCTTAATTCGAAAGCATTCGAAAGATTTGTATGTTATAAAAAAAAATGTTAATGCTTATCAAAATTTTTCATTAGAAAAAAACATAGTGATTTCGCCTTTTTCACTTTTTTTTCTCGCCTCGAGTGAATTATATTGTCACACTGCCTGGGGAAGCGGATATAGATTTTAATATAGTTCTAATAAGTAATGACGACATCATTTTTTTTGGTTTTTCTGGAAAAAAATAATGGGTTACAAAAAAATTACCTGGATTTTTTTTATAAAAATATATATAAAAATGCCTTCCTCGAAGTTCGAATGTTTCAGATAGATCGCATCGACTAACGTGTTAATTACAACACTAACTAAACGTTTTCTTTGTTACATTTTCAAATATTCCTCCTATCTTTAGGATAGGAAGAATAGGATAGTTCTTTTTTTTAAAGCTTTTGAATTCTATGCACAGCGTTCACATCTTGCCTAAATCCGCCCTCGAAAAGGCAAACATATTAGAAATATTAGGTATTAAACCCGCAACGACCCGGTTAAATTTTAAGTTCTTAAAGGATCGCCAACAAAAGTTGTTGTTGCATTTTAGATACGGGTAAACTCTTGGTCCCTTATGAAAAAATGAAAATGGAAAGATTTTTTGATAAAACTGCGGACGCAAAATTACGTTTAATAGCTTTACATTCGGTACTGCCGTTAGCCAAACTGCTAGTCTACTGATATTACTGCTTTGACAAGATATGACATACATTATTTACCACAGAGGAACAGTTGTTGGTAGATATTCCGGCCGTTAGCGAGACATAAAAGGTCATCTATAAATCCGTGCATAAGTGCTTTGAAATTTCGGGTGAGGTAATTTTAAACAAAACCAATGAGATTTAACTATTACGTACCGCGTAATGGCATTTAAGTCCTTCATAAGGGTCGCGTGGCCGCGTCTGGTTTACGGTCGCGCCTGCTACGACCATCGACAGCATGGACGAGAGTAGCAGCATGTTAAATTCTGTTTCTGCTATTACTTCGATTTAAGTCGATTAACTCCTATAGTTCAATCTTTCTTCAACCTGGTTTTAACAAATATCCACAAACACTCACAAAGTTGATTCAATAACCATCTCCTTTATAAAAAAATATCATTCTTAATAATAACATCTGCACGTAACACTGTCCTCCACAGAACTCTCAGGTTAACCGAATTTAATTTAGCCTCAACGATGAAAAATAATCATATTATTCTTTATGACAATTCCAAAGATCCATATAGACACAACACACAATGGAAAGGTTTTTCGTTGTTTTTCTGTTCGCCTTCACGTTAAAGACGAGTGAAGTAGGCTCCCCAAACAAACGCTTGCTAAGTTCAAAATCGCAGAACTTGAAAGGGGCAGTTACCTGCCGCTGTAACCACCTCCTCGTCAACAGCTACACAACTGCGCTAAGGTCCACCCGGACAGACAGGCGCCCAATCCACGGTTTATTAGGTTTTTCTTTTTGTTTTTAGTAATTAACTCTTCAATCCAGGCCCCACACACGCCTCATGCGGGCCCGCGCACTGCCAAACGCAGCCTCCCTTCCTAGAGCTGCGCGTCAAACTGAACGCACCGAAGCACTGGTCACTTATCACCCGCGCAAACCTCACTTCAAACCCAATTCCGTGAGCACCCGCTAGATGGCGTCGGTAACGCGAGCGCCATCTAGGTGACAACACTGAGAACTTCATGCTGTCGAGTAAACGCGCTATATACACGGGGCTGCTGTGCCACAGCTATAGAGCCTTCTATTCTACCAGTAATGATGAGAAAGGTACACCAGGCAGGGCCACACTTACCTCGACACCTGTGTTTAAAAAATCAGAAGTAACGATATATAAACACAAAAATATACACCCTTACAGTGGTACATATGAACTAGATACAGAGGTGTTTTGTCGTGCATGTTTATAATTATATATGTATATGTAGGATGAATTTTTTACAAAGTTTTGAGGGTACTAACAAAAATGTTTTTTTTTTTTCAAACCTACTTATCTCTTATTTCAGGAAGAGTCTGAACTCACCGGAAAATATTTTTTAAAAGGCAAAGTGATAAACGTAAAAGTAATAAAAAAAGGGCGCAAACCTGATAACGCTCATTAAAATCAATAACCAAAATATAAGAGTAACAGGGAATAAGAATTAAAGCATGAAATGATAGTCAAAATATAAGAACTTCGTAAGAATTTTTCGAGATAGAATTTAAACTTTTGTTAAATAAAAAAAAAGTCAGTTTGAAAAATACGAAGTTAAAACGTGTCAGACGAACATTAAGTAATGTGCTGTGTCCCTGTAATAACTTTTTGAGTAACGTATTTGCCTGCTAAGCCTAGAAACACATAGTGGAGGTTTTAACCCGGAAATAGACAGGCGTTGTTGAATGCTGGGAGCCGGCCGTGTGATTGGATTGCCTAACGGCCACACCGGACGTACTCGAAACATAGAACTAACGTGCTTTATAAACTCGTATTATCTACGTGCATGTTTAGACATTGGTTAGATTAACTTGGAGTAGAGTGAACAAAAGATCAATGACTACAAAATCGTTTGGAGAGCTTAGGTGCTGTCGTTCGAGTGGCATTTATAGATCGGAGCAGACGAAATACCCATTTAACCAGTTATTTAATCTATTAAGTAGGCCAGTTCAGATATGTAAATACTATCGTATATTTCTATTATCTATATAATACAAAAGTAACATGCAAGATTCAAGATCTATTAACATCCCTTGTCGTAAAAAGGCAATGTGTCATCTGATAGCGGTCTGTATTAAGCCTGCAATTTTACAGTCTCAAAGAAATAAATAAACCGGAGCTTAGCTTTTGCAACAAAACGATTTATTCACATAGAAAACAAGCGAATCAACCAAAGCACAAGATGTTTGTATATTTAAGAATCTGGCTGTAAAAATGTGTTTGAGATATATTCTCACATTTATCTAATTTTAATGTGAATAATTATAAAAGTATGCGTTGAATAGGTACTTCTATTCCGTAGGCCGAATTAAAAGGTCTTGTTATGTCAGAAGGATGTGTTCCGCTGCAGAACATTAGACTAGCGATTTCTGGTGCTCGAAGTCAGAGACTGACTTATGACTACCTTTTTCCTTGTTTTATCCCAGTTTTAGTAGGTTTTACATTACGTTGGTGGCACTTACAGGAGTCTTTTCGCGTTCCATTAGATACAATTCGTTGACCACAACCAAAACGGGTTCCAGCACGACTTGATGCTGCCGGCTCAATAAGAATCAGGCTCAGTAAGAAATAAACGATCTTTTAGTGAAATCGACATTACCGTTACAAACGATTGCTGATAAAAATGCGTCTGTATATATGATAAGCAGAATTAGATTATGATTTGTATTCTGCATGTAGAATAAGCTCATCTCGCAACCGGCAGGTATCACCGCAAAGTTCCGTGGCTCGCGTAACTATCGTTGCCCACAGGGATGGCCCAGCTTCCTTTATTGCATCAGGCTAAAAACCGCTAATTGCAAAAAAATAAAAACCTTGAAGACTGACGGCTCATACTTATTTAATAATTCGAAGAGTTAAGATAAGTTTGGTAGACGCTAAGAAAAGATCATTTTATATAGCTCACATTTCTAAACTAAATAAGCTAAAAACGAAGTACGGAATGTTTTGGTAGTATTTCAACAGATTTATAGCAAAGATGTATTGCAATATCGTGGGAATATTTGTTAAACGGTTTCAATCCATTACGAGCTCTATACAATTTGGTACCACTCTGAGCGTGTACATTTGTAAATCGTTAAGAACTTATTAATAAAGACGAATTAAACTCATGTGTTTTCAACGTATTTGAAAGATTCGAGATAGAATGCATCAAGTTCTTAACCCCAAAAGCATATTCAGGGCGATAATAACCGAGCAGATTAACACAAGAATAAAAGACATTGTAATAAATACAATTTCGTTATGCACTGATATAACTTTATTATTTAAGCGTACGGTGGCAGTGATGATAATAGATCTAGCTAACTTTTTAGTGCTGTGGGCAAGCACCATGAACAAAGTGTGACGGACATATAGTTGTCATATGAATCTTGCATACACCAGCACGAAGACTACTGACGATCAAACTTGTGGTTTAAAGAGATTGATGTCTTTCAAACGAGTTTATTCGATTATCTGCCTTACGTTTTTTATGCGGATTGACTTAAGACGTAAATTAACACAAATATTTATAGAACAACCATGTAGTTACTGTATGCCTCAGTGCCCAGATTTACAACGGAACTTCGTTTATAACTGGTAACGGAGATATTTAGGTCAAAAAGAGGTTATAAACACTTACTTGCTGCTAAACTCTGACAAATCTCTCAATGACATTATCAAACTGTTGCAATCAACCTCTCTGGCAGTTGTGAGGATATATACAGATACATTTTTTTCAAGTATCCTCATTACGTACAACTGGACTTAGTTACTGGAATAAGTGAAAAGGCAAAAGCACCACTTCTAGTAAAAGTGTATGATTGGGCAAGTTTGTTTTACAGACCAATAGGTAAAAAACATCCAGGTTGGTAAAACGTTAAACGCACAAAACAGGTTATTTTGCTGTTACTGTTCGTTGTATGCTTATTACGAAAGAAACAAAATTTTTGGTCCCTTGGAAAAGCAATATCACAGATCTCACTTTAGGTTACACCTAAACTTAACAATATGATACACTGACAACGTTAATTATCACAAAGGACACATGATGTAACCATGCTTCAAAATCGTCGAGAACCGAAAACTCGAATACTTTAAGAAATGAGCGACTCTCTACGTTTACGAGTCAATCACAAAGAAAGTGGGTTGAAGCACCAAAGCTTCGCGCTGTTTAGAAAAGAGAAAACATTATGTCAAGGAGAACAAATACGGCACCAAACTATACTCTAATACCATAGGCACACATGTCCTTGTGTTAACATACGTACATATATTTTGTTGTGAATGTTGAAAATGGCTTTCCATATTTGATTAATTACGTATGAACAATTACCAAAGTTATTTGTCATTGCGGTATCTGTATATTGTACGGCTATAGCCGAAAAGTACACGCGTGGTTGTATCGTTGAATTATCTACTTTAGCCTATGTGACCCTTTATCCCATTTTAAGCGCTGGGCGTCAGTTAAGTCGAGTGGAAAATTTGCCACCGCACCCGGAGCCCCGGGGATGGGTAGCTAATTTGCGGTTCTTTGGTTGACCTGCGATGGGTCGGTTTTGTAGCACAATGCAAGCTTATCGAGCTCCAAGCGCCATCGACTCAATCTCGTAAATACATGACGCATTGGTACAGCGGTAAAAAGAGAACGAAGACGAATATTTCTTTTTTTTAATCGTAAAATTACAGTCATGATAGCTTGTGTTTCTTCCTGCTTTTTTCTTAGTTTTATTGTCTACTGCGGTCGATCAGTTAATTTACCATATTTTCAATGAAGCCTATCGTTACACACAAAATAAAAGGACTTGAACGGGCCATTACGGTATCATCTACTGGATCTTGGCAACAAGGCTGGGCGAATAGGTAAATTGTATATATAAACACTTTCCTTAAATTGACTTCACATCACAAGTAATAATTCATCCCATCTAGAAACAACAACGCTGGCCCAGCTGAGAGCCAGGCCAACCTCGAGGCCCTATCATAATTTTCGTAATTAACTACCAATTTGTGAAGGACCGATTCCCAGAAACGGACCACATGCAAGCCTTTTATGTTTAATGGTAATACTATTTAAGGTTCCCCAGTATTCTTCTTCCCTAATTTCTTTCATGGTTTCTTTGAGAGTCCATGCTAAAATTATCGTAAAACGTTAACGCATTAGTAGAACTACTCGATTTAATACTACTGTTGCACAATCACTTTTAAGGTACGTCATTTTGATACGTTATGCCCTACCACGTTAATTTTTCTCTTATCGATAACAAGCCCCAGTAGTTTCTTGCTAACGTTAGCTTTTTTTCAGAACTGGCAATCGGAGACGCCACATACCAAAGCATAAGTTTGTTATAAACGTCGGTTGATCTTTTTGGAGAAAAAAGGCTTTCGTAAAGTTATATATTCTTATTCATTATTTCCTCCATCATCCGATACGACGATATTGTCTATAATGATATCTAGTTGGTTGTTTTTTGTTTATCGCACAATAAAAACAGAGCATGATTATACAGTCCACAAAAGCCACAAGCCTTTGGACTCCTGCTTTATTTCATCTCAGTCTTTTTTAGCAGGTGCGACTCTCTTCGCCTTGCTCTGAGCGCGGATCAAAGCGGTGGCGCGTCGTTTCAGCGTCAGGGCAAGGTCTGCACGGCCGTACGACTTTGCAAGACCTGTAATTGTCAAGTAAAATATGAGGCATAATTATAGTTACTAAAGGAAATGTAGCCATTCAAAGCTAGGCGCTAACTGGAGCAGGAAATGTAGATTCATTGTGTGTTCTATGTTACATATGTAGAAAAAAACAATGTAATAGACTTTGAAGCTTTTGGAATCATCAATGTTTTTATTTCACTACTGTTATGTGTTTTACGCTGCGAAAAAAACTGTCTAATGTTGTTGCTTAGATCAAAATTGATTCTATTTTCGATTCTCTTTCCGGTAACAATAGCAACTACAATCATTTAATTCAATGATGCGTTTGCCTGACATAACGGCAGCAGGTAGTGTACCTGTCCTTCTTCAACCCAGTCTATTGCTATGTGAGTCTATTTTACTAATCATGACAAGTAAGGCAAACTGTAACAAGATCGAATAAATCTGCCTCACAATCGACCTCATTCAAAATATGTATTTGGATGATTGCTAAGTATTACTCACACACACCACAAAAACTATCTATGTCAACTTTAGACATATACACCTAATTTGGTAAACCTGCACATACTGTTAAGTGATTTGTTGATCTTCCTCATGTGCTTAGTGAGGGGTATTTCCTGAATCGACTTCGAAGGACTGTTTAGCCTGAAGTGTTTGGTTTTCGACACTAAAATGACACCCTTGCCTTTCGGCGAAGCCTTGACAGTAAGGGCTTTCTGCTGTGACATGCCGGAGAATTTCTTTACGTGGATGTTCTTCGGGTTGAGAGGATCTGTCGAGAACCATTTAGGAACTTGATTCTTCTTAACAATGTGGCAAGAGTGCACACGCATGATCTGCCAACAGAGGTCGGCGGAGGCCATGTCACGTCTATTTAGTCTATCCGATCTAAAATACATCAAACATCAGGAAAACGATTAGCATCAATTAGGACTATTCTTATTTTGATTAGCCAAAGTACTACACCAGCGTCGTTCATATCACGGTAACAACCAACTAAATTTTGCTTGCATTCTTGGCCAAGAAAATCATAAACTCTCGCGATAAGGTGTATAATTATTACTATTAGTCGACAATTCGTTAATTTTTTCAGTTTCAATAAAATCGTCAACTGCAGTAGTCGTCGTGATTATATAGGTTATTGGTATTCTCACACACTGAAACCACTACGGTAACAAATGCATCCAAACATAATTTGATTACATAATATCAGTTATTTAGTAAAATAAACGTAGCTCAACGAAGACTTGAGTTTCATTAATTCTGCCTTATTATGGGCATGGATTTGCAGAAGCAACGTAATTATTAAGTAAAAATAATTACAAAATTGAGTACACACGTGTAGCACAATTGGGGAACAGGCCAAAAAGAAACAGGGAGAATTAGACCGTCAAATCGACGGAATCCGTGGCACTATTGTGGTACTCTACGTTATATCTCGATCACGAAAGTGCCAGGCAATAAACAAGACGGGCGGTCCGCAGTAGGAGGGTGAGGGGATAAACGGAAGATAATGACTTTAATTATTGGCAGGTACCGTATGCACCACATTTTCTTATTCCGCCAGAAATTGATTAATTAAAATAAAGTAACGGTAAACACGATTATAATCATTAGGAAGATGTTGTAGCTTTCAAAGGTCGGGCACCAGAAGCTGCCATGCAACTTGACCATTTCTGACAGTACCAAAGCCAGTCATTCCTTCTACGCGAAGAAGCTTTTAAATCGTCTCTTTCAGGCGTGGCATCAAAGGTTTGCTGAATTTATATACTTTGATGTAACGTAAATGTTATTTGTTTAATAGAGCTCTGAGCAGGCAAATCGGCTTTTTCTTAGTACAACAATTTTTTGGCATCGTTGTTTCCTATGTACTTTTAGATGGCGTTCCAAGGTAAATTAATGTGGTTCCTACAGAAGACAAGCTAGGAACACCCTTTGCCTCTAACCATAATAGAGACCATATTTCAAAAAACAGTAGCGTCAACACAGACGACATTTGAAGAGTCGCCCAGTGGTATACTGTTTGTTTTATTGTATTAAATACCAAGAATATGTCAAATTACAAAACGAATGTACTAACCGCGTAATTCTAAAAGTAACATTGTGTGAGATGAACGAGAAAGCACTTTGGGAACATTTCGGCCATAGTAACGATCTAAATTTATATATTTATGGGGATTTTCCTAGTAGTCTTATTGGCTGCTAAAACCTATACCGATTTCATTCAAACCTAATTACTAACAATGGGTGAATATATTATCGAATGTTTGTTTACTCACACTTAACGTGTAGTGTACGTCGAGGAGTATACGTAAAAAATGTATCGTTATATTCACCAACAGATTGCTGCAGGTAGATCTATTTTATCGTTTATAACGACGTAAAAGCTCAAATTCAGGTTTATTTTTTCACACTATTCCCCGTAGTGACACTAATCCTTCCCCGACACCAAAATGATCAAACGTTTTCCGAAAAGTTTGAAGGCAATAAGAGAGAATAATTTTTGCGAAGAAATAAGCATAAAAAATGTTTAGGGTATTTTAAAAAGTATTTTTAGAAACGAGAAAGGCGGCCGACACAACAATTTTTATTACAATAGATCGTTTGCTCCAGATTGCAAAGAACCCAGTTAGTTTAGCTTTTCAGTTACTATATTAGAAGCCTTGAAAGATGTTCGTAAATTTTTGCAGACTTTTGTTTTCTCTTCAGTTTCTTTCTCACAGAAACACGGGTTCCTACCTAACCTAACCTAACCTTCACCGAATTAATATTCCCTAGTGGGTATGTAGCCTCTGTCTATAAAAATCACTGTTTCATTGCTTTCTCTATGTAAGAAAAAACAATTTTTAACCTTTATAGATGGGCTAAGGATAACATTTATTTAATGCAGCTATTTTTTCTTCGTTGTGACGCACGACTCGTTATTTTCTTTTCGTTGATTTAGCAGTGTAACGTTGTACTCCATTGCATTCAGATTATTCCATTGCTTCTACTGCTATTAGTACTTATCTTTGATATTACATTGTCGTCAATACTGGGTTAAGAGAGAAGCGTCTGTCCTATGCCCGATTTCATCATCACCATCACTGCTTGTTTTTGCTAGCATGGTTGGTCTTTTTAAGGGATTCATGTCCTTTTCTATTCGAACGGCAACTAAATGTTCGTCGTCGTCGGATGTGCGATGCTGTGACGTCTGCCAAAAACGTCCTCTCCTCAGCGCCCCAAATCTACTACTTCATATCGTGTTAGTATTACTGGCATGATTGTTGTTGTTCCTTTTATTGCGTCAAGTGAAGTAGAAAGTGTGAAGATGTTGTACTGGTAATATAGTCTGTCCTGTTCACCGACCTTTCAGTGGCCGCCCTTCGCCTACCCGTTGCAGCTATGTTATGGCCTCGTTCTTTTGTATTGTGTTCACTTTGCCATTGCTATTGCTAGTCCTATTCCTTGCAAGTTGTTGCTGTTGTTATTGTTGCTTTTTCCTGCCATAAGTACTGGATGGCGTTGCCGTTGTCAGGTGTTTCCCGGCTAGAAACATCAAATGCAGATGTTGTTGTTGTATGTATGATTATGTTTTTCTTGACAATTGGTGTACGGTGTTATGCTACACGTGTAGTTATTATTATAATGGTAATGGTTGTTTTGCATAGCAGCTTTGGGCTCTTCAGCGGGAGTTGTGCGCGACGGGCCTCCCTCGGCTAAAAAGCGGCACCCAGAGGCGCCCTAGCTACGGCCCGGTCCCATCGTCCCCAGAGGCGCATTCGCGCTCGTCTGACTGCACCCCTTAATTCATGTCGATCAGTCCCCTACATTGAACCAGACTGTTTATACCGTCTGGTTGACGTTGCACGTTCTTGCTGCAACCATACGTTCGTCAACATGAAAAACATTTACAGTAGATATACTGAATTTTAGTTCTCACTTTTTCAATTATATAAGCAATAAATAAGATTGAAATGCCTCTAATAAGACATCCGTGTTAAGAGCTACTGACTACTACGCAATATCCAATAATGCGTAATTGCAGGTGTGAGTCGTCAACTTATAATGAGATAAGGAGTCAATTGGGAAATTCAATAATCTAAACAGATACCTAGAAGCTGAATCTAAGGGACCTGCTATTTTATCCAGCAAAAAAATTGAGAATTCAGTAACCAATACTATGACGGGAGAAGAGTGTTCGGTTTTGCTCGACGTTTTATATGATGGTAACCATAACACCTTTTGCCATTGTTGTGTGCGGCGATCGCTGGTTAGGTGGATGTGGATAGATCCAAATTGATACGCCTAATAATGCTTATATATAAAATCTAGTGTTGATTTCCTCTTCTTTCTTGCTTCACTGTTATGAGGGTGCCGAAAAACATACCGTGTGGGAGGATGGGGCTTGAGCGAATGAACGTATATATTGTTGTAATATTAGTAGTTATACTCGTATTGAGTTTTCTAACAGCCTTCCAGAGGGACTCTGCCTGTTCTTAGGGGTGTCTGGGGGTAGCCGGGATAGTTCTACAAACTAGCTATACACCGTTGGTCGATGAGTCCCGCCGCGCCCGTTGATGTAACGTCTGCGTTTCTATTATTGATATAGCTTGCAACAATAGTATCATTGAAATATACTCTGTTTGTTGATCAAAATTCAATGTGTACTGATTAAAGGCGTTTGTTGCTTGCATTTAATAAAGGTGTTGTTGTATGATAATTCGCTTCTTTTTGCTGTCGATGTTCTTGCTGTTATTCAATACTAACTACATTACTGCTGTTAATAAAGCTATTTAGCTTGTTTGTTGTTCTTTAGTAACATTGTTCGTGACTCGTTGATGTTCGTAAAGTGTCCCTTTTGGCTGACCACTGCAGGTGGACGCTGAGTGGAAGACGTACGCAGAACTGGCGTCTTAATGCGAGTTTCCTTTTGTTATGTACCCATACCACCAACGACGCCATCAGCACACATCGAACATCCATTGTCGCCGCCTTGGCCTTGTTTAAGATGTTGTATGGTGTACTTTGCTCTCTTACATTTCCATACTCATTTCTACGTTTACCGAGGGAAAATTGTTTCGTTCGCCCCTAGGCTCGCCAGCCTGTCAACACATACATGTGTGTAAGAAGAGTTGAAGAAGCGACAACGATATGGCAACATATGTTTCTCTCTTTACATACCACCTAATACGTTCCGTCAACTACCCAGTTGATGTCGTGCGTCATAGAAGCCAGTTTTTCGTCTTGTGTATCTGCTGCAGTTGAAAACTCACCTTCGATCCCTATTCATCGAGTTATTGGTTTGTGGTGTCGCGAATAGCCATCAAACATAACCTAGAGTCTGTTAAACAGTCTATAGCGTTATTCATAATAGTGATCAATAATTGTTCATCACATCGTTCGCTTAACGTCTCCGTATTTTATCTCTTTCAATGGGTTTTAGAGAACTCGTGTGTATATATATATATATATATATATATATAAACTAGGACTACTTTTATGTTTATTCTACACTGCATTGGGACCCAACCCTATGTGGGACCTCCACAGCCGGGAAGTCGTACCGAACATATCGTTTCTTTCTGCTCTTTAATTAGCGCCCATGTCATATTTGGGCATTATAATTATAATGTTCTTTTTCTTATCATATTCAGTTCCTATATTATTTGTCATACACATCTAATATTGGGCCTTTTTTCATTTTATGAAGTCGGATTAATTATTATATAGATATATTGTGTTTTATCATTTTTTTCTCGCTATGACAATAGAGAAGGAATAAAGAAAGGAAGGACAGGCGTATAAACAAAATTACTGTTGAACAGAAGTAAATGTCTAGTATAGATCGGAAGCCTTGTTTGTTTGTTGTAGTGCCTGTTTTTGTCGTCGTGTCCATCGTAAGTGTTGTATTATATCCAACTTTTTTGTTAGGTTTTCTCTACTAGTCGTCCGGCAGCGCCCGCCCTTCTAGGCAGCAGCAGCAGCAGCCACCTCATCATCACTATTATTGTTATTATTATAGATCGACTGAGGGGCGCACCCATAGGGTAAATAAACTGACTAGTATTCATCAACTCTAATGTCTTCGGTTCATCAACATTCTAAAAATCTGTGTTGGGTAGTGCTTGGATTCAATGTCTACGTTTATATATCTGTTAATGATTGTGTGTGATTAATTAATGTTTGCCGGAAAGACAATAACAAAATTAAGTATCAATATTTGTGAAAAAAATTTAGCGTTATAAATATAAAGTTCCCAAAATTGTACGCACTATTCAGATGTAGCCACGGCGTGGGGTAACAGTCAGAATGGGTCATAAGTGCATCTGTGGATGTGTGTATGTCTTAGTCGTTACATGACTTCGAGTCAATAGCTACTGGGAGCTAGCTGTCTTTGCGCAAGCCGCGAGCTTACAGATGCAAAATTCAAGGGGTCGCTTGATGAGCGTCTTGCAGAGGCCTCCAACATAGATGTTAACAAATTTTGAATCGCTGCCTTAATTTTGTCGGTTAAGTGGAGGTCACCAGCATTCATGCCATAAGCATAAACGCTTTAATTTATCACGCAGCACAAACACATAACTACATAAAAGTGACGTATAATGCACAGCGTACCATTAACACCGATACGATTGATGACGTCAACTGATCATTCAATCAGCATTTTAATCTTTGAGAGTAACTTCGAAGTATTGAAATATTAGCGGTATCAAGTTGTAGCAGTAATATATGGTTACTGATTTTCGAATCGATGAAGGTGTGCTCTGGCAAGGGACACTGACTAGGTGAAATTTCCAAAAAAAGATTTACTTCGCTTAGCCTGATTTCGGTGAGAAAGACAAACGCCATGAACAACAGAGGCAGCCGAAACAGTTTTAAATCCTTTTATCAAACCCCAACTTCTGGCGCCTTGTGCTTGTTCTGTGCTCTCAACTATAGAGCGATAATTATCGGGATTGTTTCCAGTGTAACAATTGGTCGGCTGCCATTCATTGCATTGGAAACGAGACAATAATACTCGTAATGACAAATACATAACAGGATAATATTCTGAATACACTCTTAATAATGACCTACTAATAACCTTATTAATAAAGTAGAGGCGAAAGCTCATTCCATACAGCAACGAGTTGTCTAGCTACCACTAATAATGTACAAGATGCATCACCGTTCATAATACTCAAAGTACTCATGACTCTGTATCACTCTAAAATCGTCACATGTGGTGTGTGTCGTCTGCGTACGTCGTATCTATTTGGATTTCTATAGGTCTATAAATAGTGTAGCTATCGGGTCCTGCTTAACGATAATGCAGCCAGAATTGCAAGAATAATACGGTCGCTTATTATCATCCGTAAATTTACCGTATAGTACAGTAGTGGTATATCGTTAATACTAATCAAGGAGCGTACATAATAATAGCCCTGGTCATGAATTAATCATAACGGGATGAGAATGACTGATGAAGCAACTAATGGTAGATTTGCGTCCCGCCGTCAAGGATACAAATCGAACCGTATTGGTTAACTGAATAATAATAAAAGCGTAATATTATACATTATTAAAATGACAAACTAACGTTATCCAAAAGCGATTGCAAAAAAGCGACAACTATAGTAGCAGCAGCAATGACGTCAATATAAACGGCAAAAGAACAAAAAAATTGTAGGCCAAGCGAATATGAGCGCACCATAGTAAAACTGATTTAATGCAGTTACAGGAATATATATATGATAAACTCATATACGAAAGCCAAACGGCTCCGAAAAAAAAAGATGTGTTGAGATAAATAAAAGATCCCCATTTTCCAAAAAAGTAACTATAACAGTATCACCAAACAGTATATGAACATTATTGTAGATTTGATTTTGTAGGTATATATATATATATGTTAGGAACTATATCGACATGGAGTACAAAATAACGAAAGTCGTAATATAAACAAAAAAATAAATTTAATTTACTTATCTTGTACACGCGCTAGTTATTCGCATCACTTTACGTTTTTAAACGTTTGTTTCATTTATCTAGCCGGTTAAGGATCGTGTATTGCTTGAGATGCGACAGCAATTTCGCTCGCTCGCCTCATCCCGTTGTAATGAACTCATTACGAATTATAATCTGAGTAATAATATATTTTATATGGTTTTAGACGTATCACTTTGTCTACTTATTCTTTTCCCATATTAATCGTTTGGTATAATAATAATATACTCACAACAAGGAAACGTTTAATAAGAATAGTGCAGTAATATTAATAACAATAATTCGTTTTCAACCGTACTTTTGTTTACGATAAGTTTTTTTTACGATGTTTTTTTACGTCCCTACCGTTAGCAGTTATTATAACTGTGCCTGCCCACGGTATTGTATCGCTTGTTCTCAGCATCATAGCATATATTGAATTACCTTTATAACGAACTTTGTATTTTTTTTTTCTATCATCTGCGTCGTGGCACTTTTGGGTGATCTTTTTCTTTTTGCTGTCGCCATCGTTGCTGCCATATCGTTGTCGCTACTGTAATTTAAATTAACATTACTTGTATTGTTGCCCTGTGTGGTTTGTGCAAGTTTACCCAAGCTGACGACAACCTATTGATTCGTTATACATGTTCATTGCTTGGTTGATTCGATGATTGATAGCATAGATCCACCAGCTGATTTCGGTTCTTAGATTCCCCGTGTGCTGCTACAATAACAGTTAGTTTTTCCGTTAAGTAATCATCAAATGTAATCGCAGAGTTTTAACACATCCGCCTTTCTCAGTGCTTCGTCAGTTATTTGCCTACGGTTCGGTTGGGATTCCAGTTCGAGTAAGTCTTCTTGGTTCTTGCTGTCTATCTATTTGTATGTTCGTCGTACAGCAATCGATAGTAGAGAGAGAGAGAGATAGAGAGATAGAGAGAGAGAGAGAGAGAGAGTGATGGTAGAACTAGAATAGTCATCATCGGCCGTTTATCATCCTTAAGTCTGTTAATTGAGAATTATGTAGATGCTTCCGTGCCATCGTTATAACACCCGCGTTACTTGCGTGATGAAAGAGATGATTTAAGGAAATTGATAAGCAAATCGATCGAACGATCCGTTAACATCAATCAACCAATCAGTCAGGCGCATAGCACACTCTGCGGATCAACTGACTGCCGTTCCCCTTTTGCTCAATTAAGAGTTATTAATAACTCGTGGTCACCCAATTTTTTATGTTCTTCTGTATAATTTTCAACTGTTAGGGTCACAGATTCACTAAATTCAATCAAAATCCGTTAGATTACCGCTATTTCTGTTTAGTTGGAATTCCGTTGTAGACACTAAAGCCAACGTTTCAACGATAGAAGCGTGACGCATTGTCATAATATATTGTGTTAGTAGAGGTTAATGGCTGCGGAAGCCATGTATTGCTGCTCCTCGTTAAATTCGAGAAAAATATATAGACCATGCTCAGACACAGGCTCATGTGCGCCTCTGTCTAATTGTTGCTATCTTTTTTCCAACATAGAGTTGATCCTTGTGGTACGCTTGTATTTATCCAACGTGTCCGGCTTATTTGGTCTATACGGTCGTGTGATTAGAGACTGCGCACGTTTCAAAGGCCCTTGTATATGTCGCCTTCTTCCACTCTATCTCCTGTGATTAGTAGAAGCCCCGCCGCAGACAATGACCGGCCGGAAACGCTTTGAGGGAGCATACAAGTTTACGCCAATATTGTGTACAAGCATTACTACATGCCCGCGGTCGGCCTTTCATCACCTCAAATAGTCGGCTACTAGTTTAACAGAAGTATCTCACATAATTATCAGATTTAATGTTCATCTCAATAGGAAAGGAAGTTGGAAAGTTTCTCCTCTGACTCGACAGTGTCACAATTCAGATGTTAACACATATCAACGTCCTTTTGTTCTAGAAGGAATGTAGTTTAGGCATTTGTGATGTCTCTGAGGTCGGAGAGAAATCCTTCGGGAGTGATGATGTGGTCAGACCCCACAATCACCTCCCAGTTCTTTAGGTCACGTGTGGTTTCATATGCGACACGCATTTCCGAATAAGTGGCACCACCTACAATATTTAACGGGCCGTATTAAGTTTATTTAAGCACAGGAGTTATTTAATAGGAGCTAAAAATGTTCTTATATAATATAGGGAATGTTAAGAAGTTTCTTGTTGTTGCTCTGGGAAACTAGAAATCAAAAAGCATGACTATTTTCGATAATTTTTTTTAAGGAATCATAGTAGTTTTTTGTCACCCACCAATTATGAAAACGATAAGTCGAGGAACATTTTTGAGGTTGGCCTGTTGATTACGATCTTTGTGCCATTGGCCATAACGCTGGGAAGTGGGAGCGGCCCGCGTATATCCGCCGTCTCTTCGACCGACAAATGGATAGTGCTTCTGGTCAAGTTTGTCTTCGATGGCGTCCTAAATATAAATAATCGGGATCGTTAGAGTAGAAAAGTAGATGATCAGAGCAGTCCATACAGATGGCGTCATCCCCTAAGCTCCTCGAACTTAAGCTGGTTAGAATGGCCGAAGGCAATACAGCCTGGGTCAAGTAACGATATGATGCGTGAAGTAAAATATAATATACAGGATGGTGGGTTTAAATTGGGGGAAATCTTTGGCGAGTTGGTTGTCGTTACAGAATGGGTGCATCCGCTACCTCTGGTACCAGATGAAAACCAGTCCTTTCTAAAACAAACGCTTTCTAACAAAAAAAAGTTTTTGTAATTTTTCAAATTCAAGCGAAGATTAACTATTGTATAATTTTTCCGCATTGGACGAACCCCAAACAATTTTTTTTTTTGCCTAAAATCGTATATCTACTTTTTACCTGGTGTCTGACAAATACGAGACTGAAAAATCTTCAGTAAGGTTTACATTTAGAGGACTCGAAAATTCATTGCTTTAGATACATCTAGGTGCTTAAACGAATGACTGTTTTATAGAGGAGAGCATCAATTGGTGATTGTCTCTAGATTCTACAGCGACAGTTTCTGGTTTTTTGCACTTTTATATTTCGTTTTGAGCTCTTGCATTTTCGGGACTTTAGGCCTACTATCAGACCAGAATTTGGTTCCATTGAAATTTTTTGTAGGTAGGGTATCCGAGCAGCGCTTAGTCAAGTTTATACCCTGCACGCTTAATATTCCGAAGTTATTTGCGGACAATAAATAATTTAGGTTCCGGATTGCAGCTCCAATTACGGTGGATGGTGCTTATATTGATTAAATATAACCGCCATGACACTTCTGATATATGCACTAGCTATTTTTATTTAGATCTAGTCCTAAAAACAAAGTATAATCATTTCTTAACCTGGATGTGCCTTTATGTATATATGTGTATGCAACAGCGAAATATCTTCGTTCCACTATGCATATGTTCCCCGCAACAGATCTAGAAACCTTCTTTGAATTAAATCAATTACTTTGTTGCACTCCGTAAGTATGGTTTCAGCTTTATGAAGGCGTTTTCGGCGCCTCGCTTAGGTATTTTTTCGGCAGCGCTCTTCTCTATAATGAAAATACCTTCAGAAAATGTCTTCACTACTTTTACCATTGTTCCCCGTGGTTTACATACCTCGATGACATCCTTGAGGATAGGTGTCCATCGAGACATCTGGTATGTCTGCTCAGTAATTCGTTCCTTTCGATGTGGTTGGTATATCTTCTTACGGCCAGTCTGGAAAGTTTACAGGAATGATTGTAAAGCAACATCGACTATTCACTAATTAAAACACCTTTTACCATACTGAAATAAGCTCTGGTTAATTAAGGCATTTGAACGCAGTGTTAGTTTAATGCCGTTGTCTAATTAGCTTCTGTCCATTAAGGTCACATGCAACAAAAGCCAAAAAAATACGACATGGAAAACTGCCACGTGCTCTCATTCAGGACAATCAAGACCACAACAGCGACCATCACCACATTACCAGCAGTTGTGAAGAAAATTTCTTCATTACGTTATTTACAATATATTTTTCCAGAACTGGAGATACATTTGCAAGTCGACGAAAAATATCTTGATAGCGTAACCAATGAGTCGTCACATGAAACACACGCTACATGTGACAAATGGAAAAATGCGATCGATGAAATATGCTTACCCTAGAATTATGAAGAAACTTTTGTTTTGGACCTTTCAAGTAATGATAGGATTGCCATTTTACTAGTTTACTAGTTACAATGACCTGTTTGGAAGAGACAAGCAGGGAATATTTCGGACAATCAGGTGCAATTGATAACTAAGTTAAGGCACCGATATGAAAAATTCACCCGAATATACGTTTTTCATGGGACAAGATACGCTTGTAGGAGAATGAAGAACTCAGGCAGAAAGTAGAAGGCACACTCGATAATTATGTGAAGATAGTCAGTTGGAGTCAAGCAAAATGAAGCACCACTCCCCAAGCGCCGTTTTATTTTCGAATATGAGTTCCTTTTGGTGCACTGCTTATTGTTGCTGTTCCAGGTACAAGACAGGAGTATTTTTCTTTGGTAATATTTTAGTTGAGCCTTGAGTTTCTCTCCGAATGTTCAGAGCAGCTCAACATGTGTGGGGGGTTTGCGGTAGCTTTTTAGTTGTCGTTCCTGCACCTTGGGAGGCTGCCAGCCACCTATGTTGGCTGGATCCTCGTAGGACGCCGAGATCCCACTCCAGCGATTCGAGATCTTCCAAGTCCCAGCCAAGATCATCATTTCGGTGTCACGAAAACACGGTGAAGGGAGCAGCAAGGAGCGGGGGTTCCAATGAGGATAGTAATCACCACCCCATCGCCAACGTCATTAGGATCATCAGGCGCATCACCATCATCGATCACCGATGAAATGCGATGTTTTAACGAATATGTCGAAAAAGAGATATATTGGTTAGACACTGGCACTTCTGCTGTTGGCCAATGGTAGGTGGAATGAGTATCAGTAATTGACAGTGATCCGTAATAATGGTGAAAAAAAATGAAGTAGACGCAACTTTATACGGTATAGTTCGGCTTTCCACAATAAAAATAAACATTACACATGATATGACAAAAAGATTAGAGTTAACAATGAATGTCTACAGAAATTTTATCATGCGATGAACAATTCATGCCCCACCATGCAATAGACCATTACGTATTGAATTCCTATGATTTACGTGTATTCTACCAGATGGTGTCTACTAGCATTTATTATGTGAGCAGATATGAGCAAGGAATAACAAAACATAACTATTATATAGGCACTACAATATCCTGTCGTTTGTCAAATACCATTACACCACAGCCTTCCAACTGTGGCCATCAGAAGTCCCACATATAAATGACGAACAAAAGAATAATCATGCCTATTTCGTAATGTAAAGGAATATGTGCGCTCCTTGCATATAACAAGCGAGTGTCTACTGAAATAAATTTATGGCCACAGGAGTTCCGAGTAAAAAGAAATCTACTTAGTTTTAATCAGATTCCTTAGGTAGTGAGCTCACATCGGTGACGATGTTGACGCCGAGGTGTGCCATATTGCTAATGATTCCTTTTTCAGAAGGAGGAATTTGAGCGTGCTGAATTAGCTTGGAAAGGTTCTCTTCAGAGATTCCGTTCTTGCTTAGGATATACAGTAGAATTATACGGATCTTGTCGTAGTTGGATACAGCTGTATCGAGAAGGATGGGCACAATATTACGCATCGGATCCTTGATTTTTTCACCCTCGGCATCCGTGCCCATCGCTAGATCTTGCTCGACCTGAAGAAGGCATGACAATATCATGTCATCAAGTAATAAGAAATAGCTGAAAAACTTTTAAAAAAATTCATTTGTATAACATAAGTACGGTAACATTACAAACAAAAGTATTTCTTTTTAACAGCTGAACTTTCTGGACAGGCGAATAATAATAATGGACAGCTAACTAATAAAACGATAGTTATGATTTGTGTCTGTAGCTAGACGCAAAAAATGTAAAAAAAATAACTTAGTTTTTTATATGGTAACGTTATTCACACGCATCCTAATATAATAGAGCATAAATATTTGACAACGGTTTGCCTGTGAGACCTGATACAACGCCTTATATTAATGCCAAACAAAACTAAATGATAGTCGACGACCATATATAAGTAATATTAATTGTTGTTTAAGTTAAATATAGTGCGTAAGTCACGAAGTAAATCAGTTTTGTTTTTTGAACTAATTGTAACGTATCCGCAGTTTACGTACTTTGCAAAGTCGGTCAACGTATCCCTGGTACGACTTCATGCAGTCTTCTGCTAGATGCAGGTGGGTCGAGTACTTGTTAAGTTCTTTCTGGTACTGCGGCATTTTCTTGATCATAACGGTGAGGTCTTTGAGGCTAGACTTGTCTCCACCACTCGCCATTCCGCGTTTGGAGTCGATGAACTTTTTCATTTGTTTGGTCACCTGCTGCGACACCACAGCAATGTGTTGGTGCCGAAGTTCCACCCAAAGATCGTCATTTTCATCGAGTAACACCTGTTTTAAATTAGTCACACAAGTATAACTGATTCGTTTATCAATTTATATCAAACTCAACCTCACAAATCCTCGTACAATCAATATTCTGACATCAATTATTGAAGTACCTTGTTGTCTTAAATGAGCTATACAGTACAGTGGGTAACTAAAAAAACGATAATTTGTTTTTTTTTTTTATAATATTTACTCTCTAAAGGCCAGTATCTGTAATATATTGCTTCAAATAGCCGAAAAAGGAAGCATTTGTATACAATTTGTATACTGATTCCGTACCTCCTTTTCGCGTTCGTCGTTGCCCTGTGATGCCACGAACTTATAAACATCGTTCTCAATGGGCAATAAATCATAGGCCATAGCCTGGAAAGTGAGCTCATGCAGAAGTGGAGAGACGCAGTCAAACCCGCGGTCCAAAATCAGCAGCTGCGAGCGTAACTTCTCCGGACCCTCACCCATAGTTGGTTCGTCCGCTTTGTATGCGTCTAGTTTTTGATTGATCAGTTGTGACAGCTCTGAGTTCAGCTCGAAATCACTGAAAATTACAGTAGGCAATGATCTTGTCATGATATTTTATTAAATGCAAGCTGTATACGACAAGTATTTGATGACCGAACTAGGCGCAATGTGATATTTCGAAAAACCTGTAGTTAAGGGCTGTTTGGGTTTCCCATCTCAGTTCATCGAAGCCTCGTGTACAATTAAAGCCAATACCTAGAATAAGTAAAAGGTAACTTACGCTCGATATCTGATTGAAGGATACTCTCCTAGAGTAGCACAGAGAGTAGCCACTTGTTCGGCAATCCTCTCAAGATTGGCTGGCCTATCCGAAATTCGATTGGGATTGTAGTAGCACTGGAACGTGTGTACGGAGTCCAGTGAGTACACCTGAGACTCGTAAGGCAGGAATGCAATATTGACTTCCTTCAAGGTCTTGATGCTTTTTGCAATGGGCGACTTACACAGATCGGTGAACAGTTCATCGGGACACTCTGTATTGAATAAATTTAAACGCATTCACTGATAAGATTCCGTAGCAATAATTATTAAACATGCTTTTTGGCAGATTTGTTCGGCCAAAAGTAACGTGGCAATCTGCAGTAATTTAAGCGTCTTCTTTTCACCACTAGAAAAAGTCTTGTAACTATTCTCCGTTTCAATGACTAGAACAATTCATAGTCATGACCTTTGCAACCCTTTATAATAAACGGTCGTACGAAGCTCGTCACGAAACGGTTTCATCAAACGTGTTAACCCTTCAATGATGCTGCGCTAATCTAGTAGTAATTACGGTATCGAAAACGATATTTCGTACTTAATACAAGGAAAACATTTGTGAAGAAGCACCATTAATACTCTATTCCGAATAGCTGAATAAAAGCTATTCGCACGGTACTTCTAATATTTAAGACGAAACACTGACATATACCTAAACATGTGTGCTATGATGTGAGCAACATTTCTCGTACTTACTTTCGGTGAAGAAAATGTGAGCGCACCTGTACATGTGCATACCAAGACGGAAGTCGTTCATTAGGAGACGGATCGAGTTCTCGGTTGGCGTGATCAGATATACCGCCTCCACGTCAGGCAGTGGTTCTCGCTTTTTGGCGAGATCTTCCACGATAGTCATGCCCTCCGCGGCCAGCTCGTGCATTTTGCAGCACGCGCTGATCATTCTCATGCCTGTGATAGCAAATCAAGACAGAAGCAGCACATTTAGCACTACGAAAAACGAATATGGTATCAGCGAAAACTTATTATGATTAATATTATTTCACAATATACTTCTGTAAGTGAAGCTTAATAGCATGCTGCCCGTATGTCTAGTATGATGGTGATAGGAACAGCGAATTTTACCTAAAGTGTCCACAACCAGCACTTTCCAATCCCCCTTCTTTTTGACTGAACGAACGACATCGTTCAGAATTTCTGAAATGACAGAGATGAATTACAATATCAACTTATTAGTGATTATGAAATTTAACTGAAATAAATGATTATTTCTAAAATGCTAACACGTGCGTATTTGAAAATGTACTACTTTATGTTACATTTATTTACTTGAGCTGTCGGTATATCTAATAGACCGACTAGAACAGAAGAACCCGAAATAAGTTCACGTGTAAATTAGGGTTGTTTGTAAATAAACCTAACTAATAAAAAGACCCGCACTAAGAATAACCGTCTAGATCGTTTTATAGATAGTTTATAGTTTTCAAAAAAAAAGTCATATTAATTCTCAGTGAATCATTGTAAACAAATGATATAGCAATAGAATTTCGAGTCAGATCATCATGAGCTAGTACGAAGATATACATGTATATATATTCTGTTGATCTCCTAGAAACGCCTGCCTCACAACCTTCTCTCTGTAATAGCTTTATTAATAAAAAAAAAATAGCACAAACTATTCCATTTACAATTCAGACCCTGTTTAATCCAACCAAATTCAGTAGGTGGCAATTAGTAATATCCATTTTACAAGCATCATCATGAATCGGGAATTTCCAAACACGCTCTGAATTAAATTTTACAATGATATTTGTTAGTAGCTTAAAGTAACAGAGCTTAAATGATTTTTGTCAAATTATAAAAGATGGCTTTGTCCAGTTCAATGAAGGAGCATTAACATGATTATTTAATAATCACATAAATCGTGGACAAATAAGTGAGTGGTTCAATTTCAAGTTCTAAATGTTTGGAAAAGCATAGCCATTCTCATACAATTTTTTGAACTTCACCAGAAATCATCTATATCTCCAGTTAGTCATGGTCATGTTGTTATTTACTACAAGTATGCATTGCAATATATTGAAATAGGAATACCACTAGTGAATCTCACTCTGCATATAATACAATGGTATCCGGTCCACGGCCAATATAACAGGAGCAAAGCTGTTAAACGTTGTGTGTATTTGGGTGCTGGCAAGGGCCAATACGGCGACTATACTGCCTAGAGCCGACAGGGCCCAGGATGACTCATACGGATATGATAGGGTGGCACAAAAAACTAAACGAACTCTTTAAGGGAACGGTTACAAGGCTGGCTATACTGTTGCCATATTTGCATGTATTAATTAATATTTTTGTATTCAGTTTCTGTGATCTGCTTCATAAACCATGCTGGGATCACGAGTACAGACAACCCGCAAATAGTTACTTTTCATTCGATTTGCAATCGCCTGTATTTTATAATTCTATCATCATTCCACCAAAATATACAGTGCAAATTAGAGGCTTCTAATTAGAAAAATTAGCGCTATTTGTTGTAAATAGGCTGTTAATTTACGCGACCGTCCGTACAAGACGTAGCCGCACCCGCTTCTATACCTAAGCCGCTGTGGCTTTAGTGTGAAAGACCAGTAAGGCCACCCGTTCCATACGTTTTGGGTCCTGCCAGCTAGTTCTAGGTTCTGCGGCTAGCCACTATTATATGGGCGTGCTTCGCCCATCTGCCTGCTGTAACTCGAGCCCATCATGGAAGCTTGTCACAATAAACAACTGGCCGACTAATCCAATACAATACCTAACACACATCTTTTGCCGTTGCTCAAAGCGAGCAAAAAATACCCCGGCAAAATTACATGCGGCGTTACTCGAGAAAAATTACATTGAAAAATGCTTATTGTTTCGATAATACTTACTCTGACCGACTAATTGTTTCAACGACATAATGGTTGAAGGTTCCTAACTCTAGTTCGTTAGATTCTTCTGGGCTACGATATTTCGGTGAGTTTCTGCTTAAGTCGCAATAAGACGGTGCTGAGGGCTGCTAGACTGTAGTTCTAATTGTTGAAATAGATGAAATTGTTGCGTTGAGAATCGTAGATATTTTGTTCCGTTGTTAAATGTTCAACCAGAGCAACGAGAAACACTCTGGGCTAACGGAAGATAGTGCAGATGAATACCTGCTTCAAGAAAACTTCTTGCACATTTTAATGTAAACGAGCGACGAAACAAGTGCAGATATATGTACGAGGAAAGTATTATATTAAACACCAAAGCTGAAACACGATGACTGGCGACACTTCTATGTTTCTGTACCCTGCGTTTTCTTCTCTATGTGGCGAAACAGATTCTAGGTATATAGTAAACCACCAAAAACAGGTAGTCAAGTGGAGTAGCTTGATACGTGACTTAGAGACGCTTGAATATCCGTAGTTGGCGGGGGCGTTGATGAGGGGACAACGACTCCATTAATAATCATTAGTAAATAACACGAAACAAATCCCGAGACTCGTACGCTAGTATGAAGTAGACTGCCAATCGACGCAGTATCAACAAAAAAAAATTATTCAACGAGTTCCACGGCAAGTAACGGGTCCACTTCCCCTAGCGATTTTAGTACGGTTCAGTTATTTAAGCTAAGTTTTCTTAATTTTGCTAGGTAGTGATCAATGATGACACTCACATCAAGGTACAATCAAGTCGGTGAGATTTGCAAAACAAACAAGCTTGAAGGTCGTTACAGCTGCGGCCAGGTTTCTCTCCTGTATGTCGCGACAGCGAGTCCAGTAAGCTCGATTGCTTTACTCGGAGTGAATGCAAAAACAATGTAAGTAACGGAGCAAGCGAGGTTTGGACTCTTACACTGGCAATAGCAGTTGTTGAAATGACGGGTTTCTACGCTGAAAACTTGAAATAGCCCTAGAATAAATTTGCTAGTAGCTGAATTTGAACGGTAAATTTTCGATTCACGTTCATCGCTTCGCTTCTTAGGCTGTTATTACTGTTCGGATTAAGTCAGCAGGTTTGTTTCTCTTCGTTGTACTCAGCGACGACGGTCAGCCCAACAAATAGCTGTCGCAATTGGTAGCTAAATTGGCTACGAACGATCTAACGGACGACCGACACGATTAGCAACGAGCAGCAGGGCGACAGTGATGTTCGCGAGTTTTGGTCGCCTGCTCGCTGAGCGACTTCGATTGTTTGCCGCAGCAAACACTCTTTCATATACAAATATGGCAGGAATGAAAGTGTCTTGCAGTTCCTGCTACAGATACAGGCTAGTTGATGCAACTGTCAGCTGAACGTTGTACGCCGTTCATGAGATCAACAACGGCTACAGGGCTGGTGTCTACCGTTGCTAATAGAAGGTGCCGAATGGGAGGAACTAATCTTCTCTATAAGCTGTGGGAATCTGGAGAGTTGACGAGACGAAGAGAATGAGACGACAAAAAGCAAAGAGTTACAGGAATCTGAATTGACTTTTATGTTGCCTTTGCCGATCTGTCTGTAGCTGACTAGAAAGACGTAGATAGAATGTATCCGACCGTCGAATGGAAGTCTTTTCTCTTTGGGATTATTAAAATATTGATGAAATTGTTCACAGAGAATCTGTAACAACGCCAGAATCTCTAACAAAAAAAGGAACTTGTTTCGTAAATAACTATGAATTGTCTGTCGCGCACTAAGTTAGATCCAACGCAGTGGCAATCCAATGAGCTGCGCCGCTTGTCTGCCGGTTATCGTAGTCGAACTTAGTGAACGCTGGCAGTCTTCTTCACGGTCAAAGCGCCAATGTACGGTTGGTTCTATTTTGAAGTCCTACACCATGTCGGGTGACATCAGCGCACGCAGGGTTTACCCTTCTTTACCGTATAGATGCACATGAACTGACCGACAGATACAGATTAACTAGCTGAATTTCAGTAGTAACAATACAAATACACACATTTACTGCGTTTTCGTAGTGATTTGTTGCAGTACGGACCAACGGTCGCGTTTAGTTCCTAGTCTAAATCAAGGAAATTAGCTAGGGCCGCAGCACTCGCTTCGACTCGAACGCCAACTGGCTCTAGAAGCCAGCTCCCCCCCAGGCCATTCCAATGCTATCGCTATGATTCCTTAATAATCACACCTACTGCTGAGCAGCTATTCACTCACTATTGATCCGCTTCGAATTTTCATGGCTCTTTTTTCACGCCCACACACGCCTGGTAGTGACTATTCCAGTGCTGTTGCAGCAGGCCCTTCCGTGCTCAGCCTTTGCTGAATTTCGGGGCTTGCTCACAAAGACTCACTCTCTTCGTACTGTTGTTGTTGTTGTTGTTGTTTCAGCGGCAAAGATCAAAATGGACCTAGCGAATAAATGGCTGGTTGACTTTCAAAACCGATGTTGACTACTGCCTGATCGGCGCGATTATTGCTGTTGCTATAGCGTTTGTGTCGTGGCCCACCGCAGCTCACTCGCTTAGCTCCTGCTGCTCATTTCACTTAGCTCGACCCATCCGTCAAAGCTGCACAACCCAGTACAGCTGCTGCGGTGGCTAGTGGCGCTTCAAAACTCCTTCTTTACAGCGGTTACGACGACTGCTGTTGCGATAGCCACCATAGATAGCTGCTGCTGACCTGCGTGTTGCTGACGGTTCGCGTTCATAGCGCCCTGCTGTTCCGTGCTGGGCCATTCGAACACGCACAAAGCCAAATTGGAGGGCCAGAGAAACTCGCCCGCCGGGCGAGGGCATAACCCGCGAATGTTTAAAATCGTTCTGGGCGCTGATAAGAATCAATCAGGGTAGAATTATTAGATATGACTATAAAAAGTCGTTATCTATATATTCATCTCATTATTGATTGTTTATAACAAAATATGCTTCGCAATTGAAAATCTTCTAAACTATACGCTGTGTTCAGTCAGTTAACAGGGGGGTTACAATGCCAAATAGAGTATGAATATTTTACTGGAACAGAAATATTGTTAAAACTATTTATGTTACTAATAAATATTACGTAGTATAAAATATTCTAGTTATTGTTATTGTAGCCCAATGTTTCTTGCAAGTGACATAAAATAAAAGCGCTGCAGCCAACTCAGTTGAGCAATTCGATGGAGTGAGATATGGTTTGTTGCATAGTTCGTGGTTAGGATTTCTTACATATCTCCGTACGTATAATTTAACGGAAACGAGAATTTTTCACGTTAAAGAGACGCTACATGCATGTACAATCATATAAAGAGGTCATAATTTTTTGATAACTAACGTTCTCAGCGTTCCAACTTAAACGCTTGAACTACTCCAAAGTGAAATAGTTTTAACACGCATTCTATCGGAAATAGAATAGGTAGCGTAATGGATGCGGAAAGGTGTCCGGAGTCCGCTAGAATAGTTTGCAAATTTAGCTGAAAAACACAGCTGCAAAATAATGCGACAAAAATGCCAACTAGAAAACAGGATACCTGTATATATATATATATAGTAGATGTTATCTGTACTATTTTGATATTGATAATATACACAATTAGTGAACAACATATAATAAATTAATGTAACCCGTAACGTGGTGCGGCGTTGATACGAAGGGTAAAAAATAGGGTTTCGCCAAAGCAGTAGATGAAAAAACGGCACTTAAGTAAGCGACCCAAACTTTGAAAAATAACGAAAACATACAATGAACATTGTACTCGTCATACACAATAAGAAGGAAGAAGATCATTCAAAAGCTCTAAATAGCCTATATTATTGTGACAAAATTTACAAAGTATTACAGTGAAGCGATCGAACCGGATCATCTACCAATTTTACAATGTGATATCAAGCTAACAGTCGACTAATTACTGTCCATGTTCAACAGGAACACTCAAGCAATACAACCATGCTCTTTGATTTTCAAATAAAAAAAAAAGTTTTTTTAAATACATTGCCGCTGTATCGGGCAACTTCCATAATTAACTATAGCTACACAGACAGTGTCAAGTGATGTTTTGGATCGTCATAGTGGTTTCAACCCTACTTAACTTGCATATCTAGTAAATGCACGCTTAGCGCAATTCGATGATTGCAAAATATAGATTATGTATTGGAGTTGATATAACGATAGAGTGTATCAACAATCACTGGATAGCGTTCACTCAAATTATTTCACGCTGTCTTCGTTAATACCGACTAGGTTTGTCTTACGCTCATATATAGTATAAATGCTTTGTTAACATAGATTCGATACAAAAAAGCTTAAATTTAATTTAATTTAGATGCTCGTTCGAGCTTCTCGCCACTGAATATAACCGAGTACAGATAAAGACATCCTCTAACGTTAGCAGCTTCACCAAATGCCTTAAGATCACCTACAACATAGTAATAGATAAGCTTAAGATAAGTTGTTAAGGCAACACCAGGCAGTTCTTAATATCTGCATAGGGAAGACAATTAACGACTCAAGTTAAGAAAAAACTAAAGACTCATTTCAAGCAAGCTTCCATAATAACAGACAAGAATTTTAAATGGGGAATACTTCAATTAAATTGACGTGGTTGAGCGACTTACGGTCGACGACGGAGAAGGAGGGAAGGCGCTACGTAAGCTACCTCATTACAAGCGCAAATGAAGTAGGTCTGAAAATGAAGGAGGACACTGTGTATGTTTATCTCAGATTAATAAAAAACCTAACACAGCCACGTCTGCTTGTCACGTGTTTTGTTCTTACTTGTGCTAGTGTTATAGACTGTAATAATTCACCACCATCTTTTCGTCACATGGACATCGTTCTTAGGTTTAGGCGCGTCGCTGTACATTGTCACCTTCCCAGCACGTACCTTGTACATCCATTGTCAATTCCAATACCGTTATAGAAGACTGATTTCTGCTGAATAGTATAATAAGTCCGGCTAAATAATTGAACTTATAAATAGCAGCAGTTGATTTGCTTATCAGTGACAGTTTGTCGTCTTAGTTGGTGAATATTTAATCAGAAGGCGATACACAAGTACGACGAATAATAGTGTAGATTCTGCTGTAGCAAACATTAAAACGTACACGCGAGTCTCTTCTCAGCCTCCAGTTTGTAACTTTTCCTTACGAACGTATCTTCGTCAAATTCAAGAACGCTTCGTACAGGCGAGCGGCTGTGAGCCAGCCAAAAAGACAAAATATCTTATGAAAATAAAAGCTAACTGAATATATAATGAGCTGTATCTTAATTTTTACCATGTGCATATTCCTGTATCGTAATAATTTCTTTCTAGTAAATTCATATCCAAAATATCTCTTTTAAGGGGTCCAAGTCAACGTAGTCAATAAATACATACAAATAGATTATGGCAGAAAGCTAGATGTTTTATGTCTAGTAAACAATCGAAGTGTATCTGCGCTAGCGACGACTGTGCGACTACATGAGGTCAAGCGGGTCTCTTACTGTGTTGTGTGTCGAAACAGAGGACGAACTGCAACCATTAAAATACGGACACTAATTTTTATTATATATCATATAGAATAAAAGCTAACAAGTCAACTCGTAAGGTCTAATTTAATATAAGACGCTCGTCTATCTGAAGTCAAAAGACCGGCTATCGTCACAGCTTCGAAGTTCAGCTTGCCCAGACGTGGTTTAAAATTTGAAGAGAAATGTCCTCGATTGATTACGACGCTGAAATAGATGGAACTGCAGAGAAGCGTTAGCAGTTTTGAATGAAATATAAGAATCTGAGAAGTTAGAATGAAAAACTTAAACGTGCATGACAAACAACATTCAAATATAGGACCCACTGCTTTAGAAGAATCGGGCAACAGGTTTCAAAAACAATATTTATTTCTAAACACTTTTCCCAAATGATCTTAAATTGTTAATAATATAATAAATAGTTGAATATGTAGTATAACTGATTTTAGCTTAGTCTATGTCTGATACATCTGGCCCCGCATCACGGTAGTTCTAGTTAGGCCAAGACGCCAAAGCGCCTCGGAGGTTTGTTTTCAAGCCACGTTAGCGGATAGAGGCTCCTTGATGTTTCTCTGCGGCGCCCGCTAGGCCTTCTTCTGCGTCACAGCAGCATTGCTTTACCCTTTCTCTTGCACGTTGGTGCACGCAGAGCTCCATCGCTCTCATTCAAGGGCCTACACCCATATTGCGATCCTCAAGCCACGCCTTTAAGGGCCTCGTTCCTCTCCCAAAAGTTACTCCGCAGTTACTCAGCATCTACCTTATCCGATCATCTCCTCCAGGATTACGTCGTTGACGTAGCAATCGATAGGTGGCGTTGTGATCTCTATTCGTGAATAAGAAGCACGAAAGCAGACAACAAACATGGCTGGGGTGAGTGAAGCCGGCGTTTCTAAACGTACGGGAAGGGGAAGTGAGGGGAGATATCGAACTTCGCTTAAACCGGGCCCTTGCACGGTAGGTTGCAGATCTTGTCCAAAGCTTTGAGACGAGCGGCAAGTTCTGAAGGAATTAACGGCAGGCAGGCTGGCCGGCTAGGCCGCTGCTGTACGATGCGCAACTGTGGGGCCTATTATTACCTGCTATGTGTGATGTATAACGATCTGCTCGGCTATATTGCAGCCGAGAGCTCAGTCACTGTCTAAGTCCTTTTCCCATCGATACGTGTTGCATTGATTAATTCGATAGATTGGTGTCGATAGTGGGCTCTAGCTGCTACTTACGAGCCTGTCTAAACACTAGATGTCCTTTTATTTTACGTAGCCTGTCTCTTAGTCGGCTCATGAAACTGCAGCGATTAAGAAACAATGTTTCAAGTCGAGCCCAGTTGAAAACCGTAATTTAAGCAACAACAAGCTTAACGTTTCTCGCACAGCTTAACAGTAGCCGCCCAGAGTCAAAACTGGCCCTTTATAAAAGGGCAGGGGAATGATTAGTTTCAAAAGTTAGATCGGAACCACAATGCCGTGTACTTTTGCTAGAAACAAAAATACTGGCTAACAACCCAGCAGCCGAGAACGAATATTCGACTATATATACATACATATATATATATATTCCGATAAAACCTGTGTGCGGATAAATTGGATGAATAAGTAAAACAAATTAAAACAACGTCCATGAACTATACACGAAGCAGCTAATATGGATTGGGTCAAAGAGAGACGTTTGGGGTCATGTTTGAACGTAACGTTCAAATGGGGAACAACCGATTTAGTGACAGATAAAACGAATAAAACAGTATTTGAAATGTAGCAAGTGTAAGCTATGAGCATTAAGTTATATGGCAGTTGATGAGAAATATGATGTTAAACAAGCAGCATTTGGAAAAACCTATATACTGAAAAACACGGTGAATATATAATAGTTACTTATATTGTATGATTCAAGTCACGAAAATTCGTGGAAACTAGCGTGCATAAGTGACTATATAGACTGAACATCGTAATAAGATCAGCATTGACGTATGACTGAGTTTTGTAGTGATATGGATCGATCGCTGTAGTACTTTTCATGGGAACTAGCGAACTATCTTGATGCGTTATATCACATATGTGTAGAAATGCATATGGTTCCGTGACGATTTATCCCACACAATTCTTTATATTACAGCATGTACCATAATCCTCTAGAAAAATTCTTTTATGGGTTGGGTTTTAAACGACCTCCCTTCCTCCTAACTTCTTGGTCTGTCAACTAATTACTTGCAAGGGCTACTGAGGCCTGTTTCCGCGTGCCACAGACATCAGAAGTAAACGACTTAGCAAATCAAATTCAGTCATCAAGACCTGTTTTGCTGGCAATCCTGTCTCAATCTGTACAAGTACGAGGGTTGATTGAACTCATCTCCCAGGCGAGAAAGATACGATGGGATTCACTTATAAAGGAACTTTTAACCGTTTTAGAATGACATCGCCCCGTCTAAACGTTTATTTCTGGCTACATAAAATGTAGCCAGCTAGCTGGAAGGTTACTGATGCTTGGCTTTTTTTCTTGGGTTTTTTTCTGTGCCTGGACTAACTGTTTGCCCTATTATCGCGTATTCTAAACGCACAAAACGCTAACAGCAGTTGGAATTAAGACATATTTTTCAGCATCCATTTAGCATAACGAGTAAATTAAGGACAGATAAATTGATCGTATTTACAATTTGCTCATATATGAGTACTCCGTATATATATATATATATATATATATATACGTTACTTACACACGATTTGGTAAAAAAATAAGATCCTATGTAACGTAATGACGATGTAGCTAGGTTTATCCATGATTGCAGAGCCTGGCGCTGTGTAAATTGGCACTAAGGGCAGCACCCTGCAAAACGGACGAATGGTCTATGTGTTATTAAGTGAATTACACAGCCTATGGGTTAAAAAAAGGAGTTCAGATACGATTATTTTTCAAGATAAATAAAATTATCGTCAACGTTAAAAAATGTTTTACTTTTAGCATTAAATAGTTATAATGTCGAACAGGATCACATACTTGCACCACTTGCCATCTTATTATATATAGATATTTAGATACATCTACTAAATCATTCGTTCTTCGCACATAAGCTCGTTAATATGTGTTACCACCATCATGTCATTATAATAGTTCTCATTGTTCACGTGCAGTTTCCTCGTTGTGGTCATCCCATAAGTTTACTACATAATTGTAACCATTATGTTACCTTGCCCCATTGCGTTGTAGTAATTTGATTGCATTATTTCAATACTTCCTATCGATTATTCTGCCACTGTCAGCAAAAATTTTTTCTAGTTTCTGCCATGTTCTTTACATGTTATCGCCTCGCGGTTGTTTCGCTATCTCGGGGCAAGCTGGCCTCCACCTATAAAAATCCTTGTCAATATGAAATCGGTGAAGTAAGCGATTCCTCTTAGGGTGTTTTACAGATTGTCAACAGAAAACTGCCCAAAAAGTTATCTTTTTTTAGTTTACTACGAAGTCAAAAAAGTCTTGATAAGTCGTTTAGCTTTTGCCGATTCGTTCATTCGCTTGCATGCTTGCTATGTCCGGCGCAACTTTGAAAGCACTTCAACATGTATTTTGCATTTTGAAACTTTCGACTATGTTTTCTTTATTGAAAAATAGATGTATTTTTTTTTGGTATATAAATGAAATGAAGTGTTTCTAAGTAGTGTCAATACTGTAAAGAATCTTTTATGTACCAGGATGACTAGGTGCCGATTTTTTTTGCAGTACCAACGGCTTTGAGCCGGACGAAACTGCTTTGAGGACAAGCCTCCTTGCCTTGGGTGACCTCTCACAGCAAGCACAGACGAAAGCATGGAAAAACGACTTTTCGGAAAATCGTCCAGTTATCCTCAAGAAACTCACCAAAGATTCAGACGTATTAGGCTACTTTAGAAGACTATTTGAAGGTACGAAGACTTTTAGAAAGGGTTGTGCAGAGGGCCTAAATTACAAACGCAGATTTGTTAACAGCTGTTCCAGGGGAATCCACGCGCACTCAAAGCACAGCTGGATTGGATCTAACGCGTTATAACAGCTACCGAACGAAAAGGGAACGAAACACAATGATCTAAGGTGTCGGGTCAAATGCAAGTCAAGGCCGTCGAAAGCTGCAAGACCTAGATCAGAAGCGAAGCTATATCTCGCCATCATCGGTAAGATGTATATTATGAGTTTATTCCAAGTAGTTCTACTGTTAATAAAGGGTGGTACATAATGAAATTGCATAATATTGTATACCAAAGTATGCCCAAATTCTTTCACCAAGATAATGTACCGAGTTACATTATCGCTACTTATATCGCATTTTTCGTAAAAAAAAAAAGTTATATTGCCTTAATCTCTGCATATGTCAAGCCAGCGTCCTGTGTCCCGTCATCCTACCGATAGTCAAAAAAGATCCAAAAAGAGAAATACCGCGAAGTAATTGAGAAAGTTTAACAGGGCAACAGAGGAAAGGGCAAAAGAAAAAGCTGTTTCTACGATTGAATTCGAAAACTGTTCTAGCGATTGGAAAAAAACGGCGGTACATCTGTGATAACCTTAGCATGCTAGCGAATTATCAATGTAAGCTTCAGTTGATAAGATATCTTTGAGTCGACTGGGTGGTGAAGAGAATTCGAGAGTAATCAACTTTTGGCTAGGTAATCTATTTATACGACAATAATATCTAGACATCCATATGACACCATTAATACCGAGAGAAAAACAGTCAAACACGTTTTTCGAAGGTACGGGCTGTTTCCGAAACTACCTTCGCAGTCTGTCGAATAGAATTCAAGCTATTATAGGGCTAACTAATGTAGCATATTTCATGTCGCATATTAGTCGTGAGTACGTGTTTAAATATGAGAGTTGCGGATCCTTAGCTTGTTTGACGGTCTAGCAAGATTTCGTTTTATAGTAAGAACAAATGAAAGGACTCGTATAAACAACATTTTCGTTCTACAACTTCATTTGTGAGGATCCTCAGTGAGTTCTCCAACTCTTCCGAGGTATTAGGTTATAGTAAAAAGATACGGTACTATTTAGGCTCTCAGAGCTAAAGCATATTTCAGGTTTTTGCTTGCCCCATAGGTATTTAGGCATATAAAAATATATGTATAAAATAAAAAAAAGGGTGATCTTCAGTTTTTTTTCTTTTATACATTCCAGGTATAATTGCATTAAGAATGATTAGTTTTGAAGCTAAAAAACCATAGTGAATAAAGTTACTTCATTATTCGACCTGTTATTACGATTTGTCCTAAATCTATTGAAATTTCTAGAGAGACTATTGACCTTCCTTCATATACACATGCCTCACTTTTCCCGTATGATTAGTCGAAGCAGCAATTTTTTCGCAAAAAAATATGTTCCGAGCTGTTATCTAAAAAAATACTTTTTTTTTTCATAAATTTCAATTCCTATTCATAAAATGAGCATCGGCGTCCGACGGTGTCATTGAGAGAAACGCTTTGTCCGCTGAATTCTACACATTTTCCGAAAATTGAGCTCGAATTTCGAAACGTTCTATCTATGTACGTACAGATTTTTATTCGTATAAATGAATTAGCAACGAAAACATTACCTGGGAGCAAGCATAGCAAATTGTGAACCGAAGCATTTTATAAGCAACTTTAAAAAAATGACTCTAATTCTACCTAAGCCTACTCCCTAGATAGATAACTAGTCTTTTCTGCTGTGTGCAATTTCAGTCTGTTTAGTCCGCCCCTAATCTTTTTGCTGTACCGGATGCGACCTAAAAATATTGCCAAAGCGCATCCGCCGCTTCTTGTCAAATTTCGAATTTTCTATAGTTAAGTTAGCGAAATTTTTATGTTTTCTTTCCATATATAATTATTTCATATCATGGCTGATCATAAACGGACGGGAACTAAGTTTTTTTATGGGCTATGCATTTAGGAAACTTAGAACGTTGCGCTTCGGATTAAACAATCCCTAAAAGATTTGACGATTCCCGGTGTGCATGAAGTAAGGAAAAACATCGACAGAGCAATAATTGTACTCAAATTTATTTTTATCCATCTGTTAAAATAATTATTAATGATAATAATTATATTATATAAATAATCGTACGATTATAATAATGGCAAACCTTAACGGTTCGCCGCAAAATAGTCGGTATTTCCACTTTGTTTTCTCACCATCTCGTTTCGCCTTTCCCCGATCGACGAAAGAACCTTTAATTCCTGCTCGTTGAATGTTTGTCATGCGCCGTCATCCTCTCTTGCAGGACGTCACCGCATCTGGTACACCGTCGTCATAGACATTGCTTAACTATAGCATTAATTGTAATAACAATCATAATATTAAAAATAATTTTTATTATAGCCGTATTGGTTTAATTCTTATGGCTGTCGATGATAATTTTGTTTGTTTTCTGTTTAGCACGATCGCCGCGATATTGTTTTATGACACTTCATGACGTAGTATAAACATGTTTTCTCCGTCTAAATAATCTATTTGCTTATGTATATATTTTTTTAAACGCACGCTTCCTTACTGCCTAGGCGCACCACACTGAATTTTTTCCTCCTGAAAATAGAATTGGAAAGACGCGTTCGGCGATTTCCAGCCATTTTCGCATGCCATCGACTGACCCAAACGAGGTGACTTACCGTTTGTCTCTGTTTCGAAATGCTGCTATAGTGATAGTTCGATGTTTTTATTGTTATTTGTTCCTTTTTCTTGTACTGCTGTCAGCTCAGCGTATTTGTCCCTTCCCTCTTTTACAGAGATATGAAGATGAGTTGCTTACGCTCATTCTAGTTATCGAGATTAAATGTAGAAATTTCATTGCACCGCTACCTCGGATAACTTGAAGCCAGTCGTTCGTATAGAAGGCATTTTAGATAAATGTGTCAACATCATTTCCAAGCTATGAGCAGACAGTTAATAGCGGGGGGGGGGGGGGGTAAAACCGACCCTCTTACCGAATTAAAAACGTATCTGAGGAGTAGCGAATGCTGAATAGAGACGCTACAAGCGAGATAGCATTTCATGGATATCATTGCTCTGATGCAGCATTTTGGCCTTGACAAAACTTTGTTGTGATAACAAGCTTTTTTTCGTTTCGAATGATGTTATTGTTACCGTCGCCACTGTCGCTCAAATTTACAGCTTTGGACCGACCATGGCAGTTCCACTCCGGCGTACGTTTGTACGTAATCAGTAAGTGCTACGATTTCATTACGCTCGTAATCAGTGGCTTTTTTTTAATCTGTTATATTTTGCGCCTATTTTTATTCGACCCTATTTTTGACCTATGTTTCGTAGCAGGTTAGGGATACTTGTATTCAGTTTTTACGGTGATTGTTGACTGTGAGCTGATGCGTCACGCTACCAGTGTCATGCGGCCTTTATACGATGTTACTCGCTATAATTTTTACGGTCTCGTCTATGATATGACGCGGTATGATGCAACGCGACAGTTGTTTTTATATTTATACGACTTGGTCCTCGTAAGGCTTTTCGGTTGACCGTCGTGATATCGTGGTTGAAAGTTTTCATCCTGTCATATTTTCTCGACATCATGGTGATTTGGATCCTCAATTGATTATTGTTGCGTGATAACAACATACGAAAAACATGGAACTTAGGACTGAGCTATTTACTAAATGCTAGCTGAACAACAACATTGGTAGTAGCGCAACTTTACTACGGTAGCCAATATCGTCAGTACGTGCATTGGCCCCTTACAATTCTGGTTCCTGTTATGAATATGGCTTTGTGTCGAGCGCGATTTAGTCAAAATGTTCTCGTACATAAATCGAATTGATGCTCCATTAGCTCAAATGGCCTTTACTAAGTTGTTCTGCTCTGTCGCTCGCCATTGTCAATATTCGTTCTTCTTCGCGGTCTCCTACAGCGTCCATGTCCTCTCTCTTATGACGCGAAGATTAACATATATCCTATTTTCAGAATCACATCGATTCTCGTGTCCGGTCATCATCAGATAATAGTATTGTTCAGTTAGGGAAATATGTTTAGATTACCGTTAGAACGATAGAGTCGATTTTTTTTTATCCTTAGTGTTCTTCTCGTGAGTATATCAATTAAGGAGGGAGATTTCTCTTAATTGGCTTCGTGCATTGCCGGTTTTAGATATGTACGCTATACTATGATTGCGGCCGCTTGTATTCGACCAGTTCTCAGGGGGTTCATTTGCTGATACCATAGTACACTCGAGTATATGATAGGCTACGTTTTTGCCCGATGAAGTGTTGTCACCTAGCAGACGAAACGGCTATGTACGAATCGACCATCAATATCAACAAGTGTATGTATATATAGTTTTTGAAACACTATGTATGTAAGCATGATATTGTTGCTTGAGAAGATCGTAAAAATAATGGTGGTTATGAAAACACATATGTTACCGTAGTGTAATACCGGAATGGTAACGACATTTTGATGTGAATGCGATCTCCTCAGCCGGTTACTACGTAAGTGCCACAATCGTGCCACAACCTACGAAATCCCTGCATGCACATCATACGTGTATGATAGAGGTAATAAATACTCTTCTGCTGGATAACAATGTTCGGGACCCTTCAAAGCATAGGATGCGCCATAGAATGAACGAAATCGACTAATATAATCATTACATTATGTCGTAGACATATAATGGGCACATGCGTATGCGTATGGGCATATGGGTATCTTTCTATATATGTGGGTATCTTCATAGCGACTAAGGCAATGATACATCCTTTATGCTTGAAAAAAAAATTCATCAATTGTGGTCATCTCGAACGGATCATCTTGCTTGATTATTCACACAACATTCAAAATGCTAACACAATCTGGAAAATTCAATTTTTATTAATGTCATATTGTTTCTGCATGTTAATTATGTCGCCCTGCTACCTCTTACTGTGGCCACATCTGGTTAGCTTGACCATGCTCAATTAGTCACCAATTGTTGTGATCACCTTCATTTGAGGTTTTCGAACGATTACGTTTGCTGTAAACCTCAGCCGTCCTCGACTTAGCCCTAACGATCGCAGTACCTTGGAGTCACTTCAATATTATATCCTCAATCATGCTGTGCTTACTTAAGATCTCTCACTGAACAGTTGGCGGATATCTGCACGTCCATCTTCTGCCGGTTAGGACCCCTCGGTCAGAATCGCGGTCTAGCAGGACAAAGCTGGCGCTAGCATCCGTAATCAGAAAGACAGCGGCACCAGTACAATGGTTGGCTATCTACCGATGAATTAGATACTTTTTTTTGACCATAAAAAGTATGCCAATGTCAGTTTTTTGGATAGGTTAACAATAAGGAGAGCTTTAGATAAATGGCAATGTTTGGATCGGTTGCCTTTGCCGTACTCTTTAGTTAGACATTGATCATTTACAATTGATCCGCTTTTTATTTGCCGAGTAGCGAATCCATTTGTCAATGCCATCGTTTTTGTTAATATCCTCTTCCTATTCTGTTTTTGCCCTGTTTACATATTAAACATCGCATTTAAGACTTGTGTATAATATGTCTATTCTTTCTGACATAGTAGTCAAATACCGGTAAGTAACGTTTAGAATATATCTATATGGTAGGATGAAAATATTTACGTGTGCGGCAATACGGAGTTTTTGCTTACATTTATACTGCGCTATCTAGCTATTACGTTTAAATTTATGCCCAGACAATATTACGCAATAATTAAAGCCTTACGCAAGGTAATATAAACGAGAAATGACAAAAATGACACGTGCCAGCATCAAGTGGGATCTTGGGCCGCTAAAAAGTAGCGCACCAGAGTGCATATACCTCAACATCATCAAACGTCAAATGCAACTCACGTGTCATTTACGCCTTCAAAAACATTTTTGAACCCCTAATACCGAACGTTCGGCCCCTCAACTTCAGTAGAGTAGAAAATGGGGAAGCGAAGAGCGACCTGTTGGATTTTTCTTCACTTGGCTTCATCAGTTTACAGTGCAGAGTCAACCGCTCCCAGCTGGCAGCTGCCCAATTAGTAGGTTCACACCCGTAATTTCCATGTCTTACCATCGTAGCTCAGTGTTGTTCTACACACTCATTAATTTTCTGCATCTTTGAGCCATCAGCGAGAAGATCATGTATCGCCTAATTTTTCTTCTAACCCGTTTTTCGTACTCGTCGGCGTGAGTCATTTTTTTAACACCCCGATCCTGCAGACGTTATCGTCGTCGTTGTTGGTGTCAACGTTTAGGCGATGATGCTGACGAAACGGCTGAATACATAGGAACAGCTGAAATCGTTCTGCAGGAAAAGATTCCGGCATAAACAAACAAAACCATTGTCCGCCTTTCGGCAGTAAATACAACCTTCAAACCGATTGGATAAACATGCTTACGTGCACGTTGTGAAGTAATATGAAGAATGAGTGTAGACGATCTGAGTTGTGCGCCTGAGATGATAGCGAAGCCGATAATCTCAATATTGGGAGATCCGTTTCGATCAGCCCTTCCATTGGTTTCGCTATTTTTTTGCTAATACACTCATTTCTCACTTCTTCGAATTGTATAATATTAGAAGAGTGGCCCAAGTTGAAAAAATCTAATAATAATCTTACCATATTACCATTATGGAAAATGTATTGAGGTGTATTTTAACTACTTCAGCTCGAATGAAACATATTTTTAGTCGTCGCCAAAGTTGTTTGTGGTGAAGTAAAAAAGAATCATGTTAATAGTAATTGCACACCAACCGTTACCTGATCACGTAATGGAAAATGGCGGCCGACTGTAGTTCTGGTTCAGTATAGAAGGCATAATTCATACGTGAAAGTGACTGAATATTAGCAGAGGCCATCTGACATCGACACAATCTATCTGTTTCCGTTGTTACTGATTAGATGAATCAGCTGGCTTTATTCAAGGACATTTTGGCTTCGGCACGTGCATTCAGAAGTGGGTCCGCGGGGTAAGGACTGAATAGCTTCCATCGGCAAGTAACTATCACTGCTACTCGCCGCCCTAACAACGCAACGACCGTTGAGGTCACTGCAGACTATTTGCTCGTGACGCTTCTTATTCCAGTATCGCCAAATGACAAAGTCAGTGAACTAGACACCTAAAATTTGCTTATTTTTTTCAAAAGAAACTTAACGACGAAGCTAGTATGTGACACATACCATTAGCTAGAGGAACGTAGAAGTGCCTCAGATTCGGATAGCGTCCGATGTCTACTATAACTCACACTCAGCTACGCTACATATACACGCACATGTGCCAAATAGTGCCTTAAATAAACACTCTGATGGATCGTAGCGAAGGCAAACATTACACTTTAGGTAAATAGGATGGGTGATTAAGGCCTATTCAAACTGAAGTGATCATTTTGATATGACAATTATCCTTGCACATATGTATGTTAAAAGTTTGACAGCGTGACCGAGATCAACGTTTTACAGTTACTAAAATACAATAGATGGCCAATCCTCGTTTGGTCAGCATTAAGATCCTTTTAGATAGTTTGGTCGTCGCATCGGAAAAAAAATCATCCGCACCGATTCGATCTAACGGATCGATCGTATTTTTATAGCTTCGACTTGATTGATATTTCATGACTTTGCTTTGGTATCATAAATAATAGCGAAGTATCATTGGTAAATCGACGCGTACGGTGTATCTGCAATTGTTTGTCTGCACTGCCCAAATTTATGTTTTTGCCCACCTATTGTTTTGATGTAAGTGAGATCTGTGTTGTAATTCGCGGTTCTGTAAATACTATTGCTATGTAAGTTGTCGCTTTGATCGGTGTCGGAAGCGTCAGCCCGGTATCACGGTTTATGCTGTTGTTGTCGAACAGCAAAAGCGGTCGTAGTACTGCTTATCGTAGAAAATCGAAGTAGCCTAGCACACACGTTCACTGTGCCTCTAGGCCGAATACAGGGAAAGCGCCTGTACAATCTTCGGATCTTGTCGTGAGCCTTCCTTAAACTCGTCCAGCGTTAATTGGTTGTCGTGGTTCTGAAATACAAACGCCACACGCGAACACAAATTTAGCAGGTAGCGTCACGGTTGTAAGACATGTACGGTATAGGTAGTCCACCATATAAATCGCAGGGGCCGTAATCTAACGAGTTTTGACCCATATTAGAAATGCAAAGGTATTGATAGAAACGCTTGGTGACCATTGGCTCTGTACGAATGGCTAATTTTTGGCCTGTCGAACGCAAATGTCTCTTAGTCTATCTAGCACTCTTTGGCAATGGTGGAGCTCTAAACGGTTAGCCTCTTATCAGTGTAAACGTTTCACACCAATTGCAGTATGCTGCTTCTTTCAGTGCCCTCCTTCGGCCGCATATAGAAGTGGATACAAACGTCCAGTCATCCCGATTAAATAAACTAGATTAAATAAAACCGAGCTAGAGTATGTATCGCGCAGAAAATATGCACGTACATGCATGAATGCTATAGGACTACGGTAACAGGAGACAAATCGAGGCAGAATTGGAGCGTTGTTGACTGGGGGTTTATCGTGGCTTCGTGGAGTTCAGACAAATAAGTATTTCGAGTTCTATTTTCGGTCCTACCGTCAGGCACTGCTTCCGACAGCTGACACTAGCTTGAACTTAGCGTTCAATCTGACGATGCGGAGTCCTCCACTAGGTAAGGGGCCAAACCTAGAGTTTCTACCTCTAAGTGACTCAAGGAACAGAGATACGATTTTTGAGCCTAAAGCTCAATGTTTCAAATTTTACACCTGGTATCGCCGTTTTATCGGACGTCTGGTTTCCAACACGAAACGTAGTCTATCTATACGCGATCCAAACACAAGACGATGACGTGTCCCTAAGATTCACAGACAAATACGTTACCCAATGAGCTATCACAGGGACGGATTTTCAAACCTAGAAGTGTTCTCGTGTTTAGTAAGCAAACACGTAACCACTGAATTACCACGGGGACCAGTGTGATTCAGACAGAATATATTAGACAGATCTATGTATCTTTGAGCGACGAGTATTATATATGCCGACAGCATGAAACGTGCTTCCCCGGGATCAGATGAATCGGAAGATGGACAAAAAGTCACGATTTGCCGCGATTACATATGCCTAACACGGTCCAACGTGCCCACGCGGCGCCTGCTGTAATCACTAGTCCTGATCCGTCGCGAGAAAACGCGCAAGCTTGTCCGTCTATACATCCGAATGGACCAACAGTTTCGTACGATAACTTGGTCTCCGAGACGTCGAAAGCCAATAATTCCTTAGCACAGTGTGATACCTCAAAATGGAATAGGTGATTTTTTTCTTATACTTTATTCCCTCAGCTCAAAAAAAGTATTAGCTAGATGGTGCTCTTTTTAGAATAATACATATATCAAAGATGTTCTAAGATAATCCACTCCATATAATATAATATGCCTTAATAGTATCAGATAGACCAGTTTGCACTGACACGCATATCGGTGTGCGGTCGATCGATCTACAATTCATGAGTGACTGCTAGTTCGACGCGCACCGAGAATCACTTGTGGAGACCTTGATTGAAGAAAACTCAGTACAAAGCCTATTGACGAGTCGTTGTCCGCAATAGAAGACTTCAAAGTATTACCGTTGCTTTTCATACTTTGTCGCTATATAAATTCCAGTTCAAGCTAACAGCCCATAAAAGTTCGTGTGAATCAATAGTCCGTCAACTATCTACACATATGCTTTACCGCGTCACCTATTCTTGGGGTTCTTAGTGTTCGTTCGCTGAACAAATATGCTAAAACGAGAGGAAAGTTTGACGGCTAAGGAAGCGAATGTTGTGCTTAAAGGTCGGCAGTCGTTTTCGTGGTGGGTTCAGTTTTCTAGGAATCAAGAGTGTCATGTGAAAGACCAGTTTTGCCGAATTTTGAAAGGACCAAACTAGGCATTCGCGCGTAACGCAAAGAAGTGTTTGTCCTACTGGAGCAGTGCTCACCGGCGTACGCGGATGAACACTAAGAAGATCCTAAGAATACAAGAAGCGCGCAAACACTTGGACATTCAGCAGCCAAAGCTCGTCGGCGGCCCATCCGTTGTCGGCGACTACGATGAGAATCGGATGCGAGCTACTTCAACCCTTCCTTTTTACCGTTTCCTTTCGTCGAAAAAAAACCCAATACAAATTGCTGCAGATGCGTCCAGTGCGCTGACAGAAACTGCGTTCTCAAATGGATGTAGCATAATATTGCACTTATAAAGCGCTTTAAAAACACGTATTTGTATTATAAAGCATTGATGACGTGTCGTGTTGGCTATGTAATGTATTGCTGGTTTTTAACGAGCCACATTTTCCCCCGCGGCCTCGAGGAAGAGGCTGTACGTAGACTGCGCAAGGATAAGTCTTCCTTCCTTCATTTGCATATTCAGCCCAAGGTAATTGGTTATAATATATATCGCATTCATTCAAATGATTTTACAATTCTTACCATTGTGGTAAATTAGTTGCAATATTTTTGTCGGAATACGTCACTCCTTAGAAACTGTGTGATTGCCTTAAAAAGCAATCTCCCTTTATTGTGTACTCCTATGCGGACGAACAGTAAACTGAACTAGAACAATTTCCTTCTAGGGATTTAACTTTTTACAAATCAAATTTACTATTACATCTGTTTAATACACGAAGGCATCTATCATTAAACTGGTAGTCTACCTAGAATCTGGTCCGTATGCTTCATCGTCACGTTAGACAACTTGTTGTCCAATGTTGGTTTAGGATACTTCGCTTAGAGATAAGAATCCTGAATGGCTCAGAGCCTGCTTAACTTTTTTGATACGACCAATAGAATTGACTCGGCTAAAGGCATAAATGCAGCGTTCGCGTGATGCGGCTATGTTTAGAAAAAATTCTTCGATGGACAGTCATCCTATCGATCTAATAGTCGACCGTAAACGATTTTGTCGGTCCCTGAAGTAGGCGCGCAGGGGAAGGTCTATGAAGAGTCGTACCGTTAATCCGGACAAATGAGGTTAGTATCGATCGTCACAGCGAAAGCACTGTAACTAACAGGCACTTGTAACTGGACTATAGATATGTCCTATACATGCGACCCTGTTTTATAATGCGTTTTTTGCAACCGATGAAAAACCGCGGCTAGCGAACAAAGTATAGCCATAAAACGGAAGTAAACGTTTGTAATCGTACGTTATATTGAATCCCTTGCGAATGCCTCTGAGCGATGTCTCTGAATCGCACCTGGAGAATACATTCTTTAAGAGTTTAAAATTCTACTGGTTTATATGAGAGAATCTCGTCTTCTACACACGATAAGATATTTATTAGCTTCGATTTTAGAAAAGTGGTAGTAGAACTTTTCTTCAGACCAATACAGATAAAAAGGCTACGGTGCTTAACGTTTGAGGGCTTTAGCGGATCGATACGCTAACGTTTAGCGTCAGAGCTTTTTAGATAGAAGCACTTGTGTGTGTGCACCTCCGTACACAGCTTCGCATAGGTCAAACAAAGCCAAAAACAAGCAAAGAACGAGATTGAATATATGGTCCTTGCAGAGCCCGAAAATATCTAATTTTTGCATACGAAGCATTTTAATACGGGAGCATTAGGTTTTTGAATCGTAAATTTTATCTTTATCACCGTTTACAGAAATAATGAATTAATTGCAGGAAAACAGTTATAATAAAAACAACAAGGGCGCAAACGAGCAATAGATTAACTTGCAGCGGGCTGTTGCGTTAATATAATAATTATCTGATATTATTTTTTATATGGCGCTTTTCATTTACAGGCTAGTAGAGTAAGTGTAAGCAGTATTTCATTAGTGGTCACGAGAGTAGCGGTACTATGAGAAAGCGTCAAAAGCCATTTAAGGGAAGCTATCTAAAGGGCCTCTTTTAGGGAGGCTAGAAAGAGCTTGTTTAATTGGGGAAAAAAGCACGGAAATTACTGTCTAGCATAAGTTGTAATTTTAGCTCCACTCAACTCAACAAATTCACTCTTTTTTTTGACGAAATACATTTCAGCTTTCATAGGAGGATGCCTCTGGTAATGAAGATGCCCATGACCTTTTGAGCAAAATTACCTGCTTTCTGACTTCTAGTTGACAAATATGGCCTACAAGATGACCTAGCACTTTTTAGAAGCAAAAGTCAGTTTTCTTAGTTCACACGTAGTCATTCAACGGGCAATATAACTCTTGCTTTTGTATTGTTGTTGTATAGTCAACAAGATACTTACTCTATTTCAATCGCATCCAAGAAAATTCTGCCTAATGAACTCCATCTCAACGAACTTCATCAATAGACGCATACATGGAAAGTACAGAGACCTTTTTGAAGTCTAGCTGAATTTTATTGAAAGTTTGAAGCTATTATTTTTAGTGGAAATAACATCGCTGGCTGATTCCGCATCTGTAATCCTAAGGTTAGACTCCGAATGTGATTCTACCTGCTCTCAGGTTTTGCCACTACCGCCGACTGAGGGCAACGCGAACCGACATAAAAGGTACATTAGTTGTGTTGACCGACGTATTGATATCTGCTTGTTATTGTTGTCACACAGTCCGTTCCAACGACTATTATGCCTGCGCTTCAGACTACGGTTGGACGTTCGACTGAACTCAGATCGACCGTTCAGCGCTGAACTTAGCGGGCGAAACATAAACCGATTCATTCTTCTTCGTTTGTGACCACATCGCGAAGCATTAACAGTCAGCTACTATCGATTCCATCTGAATAGCTTATACTAAAGATGAAGGTATATCTTAATAGTCGTTGTCCTCTGCTGTGGCTTCCACTGCCATTATTTTAAAGTTAAACCAAGGACAGCCCGAATCGCTAGCCCAAGACCTGGTGGCCTATCCTTTCTACCAGAGAAGCGTTCAGATAGAACACGAGTAGGCCGTCTCTCAGCCGCCCTGGCTGACACCTTCTATCGACCTGGCAAAGACCGGGTTAGTGAGCAGCAAATCAGAGTACCGACTTAATTGAGCTGCTGTGCGATTCTTGAAACACCATTTTGATTTCGTCCTATCTCAGTCCAGGCGTGTATGTCTTCTTGTCAGTTCCGTTGGCTATTCTTAGGTGTGTAGCTGCACGAACTGACCTGGCCTCGTGGCTTCCCAAGGCAGTGGAATCTCTAGTGCGACTGTACAGTTTAATAAGTTGGAGAAATTCAACTCAGATGTCCACACAACCAGGTCCTTTGTATCTAGACGTGCACTGCGCAGGGTGGCAGGCATATACGTTAAATGCTGTCCTGCTGCTGCGCCTATCGTTGTTGTTGATTCGAAGTTGTAGGGAAGTTATGTGAACCGATTGCTATTGCAACACGTTTTTCGCAAAGGAGCGAGCTTTGCTTTTCTTTTCGATAGCAGATTAAATTCATCTAAAAAAAATGAAATGTACCAGGATTGGGAAGCTGTGTGGAAACACAATGTACCACGACTTGCCATCGTTATTACAACAGTATAGTACGTCTCACTGCAAAATGCACCGTGTGCATTTCGACTCATATTGGTAACTTACATAATATCTGGTTAAACGACAGAGCTGTTTTTTGCCTTTGTTACTACCTGACCGTGGATGATTCTGTTTATTAGTATATGCATCAAGGAAGACAGGCTCAAACATAATTTCCAAGATATTATTAAGGAAAAAATTATACTTTAGATAATTCGTTTATTATCAGAGCTGCTGCAGAGACACCATATATACATACATTCTAAATATAGTGCGTGACATAAGGCACTACAAGAGCCATCTGTGATGTCATCATTGCCACTAAATTTGTGAGTGGCTAGATTGTCCCAGTTTAGGTAGTTCCGCTAAAATATCAGTAGGTGTTACGCTCGGCTAATGAATGAGTATATACTAATAGTAATATCGACGATTCTAATATAATAAACATTAGCTATAAAAAGAAAGGCAAATGCTTCACGTGGATTTAGCCTGATAAAGGCATCAAGGCCAACCATTACTCTCAGACACCTTGTACGATAAGAAGCACCACCTGAACTGTAAAAGCTCACGAAACCGAAACGTTTATTAGGAATACCTTTCGAACTGTAACTCGTTAAAACGCGCATGAGCTATATGACACATAGGGCGGCTAGTAATGCGTTCAAACGGAGACGATATTGTTTCTTTACCAGAAATAGTCTGTTTGCCCTATCGAAAACTTCGCTTATGAATATCTTCAAGCTCAACAGCCGCTAAACAGTGCTTCGAATCAACTAACCGTTCAAAACAAACAACATGCGGCGTTTAACTGTTTAGAAAAACTTCAATATCTCGCTTATATAGATGCATAGTCCTTTGCGCACAACGGTTGGGCAGTATCGGCTTCGATACGTACCTTATCGAGCTGTTCAAATATCTTATCGACTCGCTCCCGGGGGCTCTCGTCCTCCCCACCCGCTCCGCTGCCCAACATTTGGTAAATCGCGTCGACTATATTGTACATTTCTTCCCGTGTAATGTAACCATCGCTGTCTACGTCGTACAGTCGGAACGCCCCTGGAACAACCCATATGTATTTCAAACGAATGTAACGGTTATTGTATAAGCGAACTGTGAAAAAGGAACGTCACCTCTCGGAGTGAGGACATAATTAGAAAGCTTCGTGAAGTCATGCAGTTATAGAAATTCTGATGTTACTTTCGACCGTTGATTCACTATTGCCGCAAAGCATGCAATGAATATAACCCTTTTGCTGCGGACCAAACAACGTCTAAGCACTTACAATCGCATGAAGTTGTGGATGGTTTTATCCCGCTAGAGCAACGTTAGTTCAATAGAATGAAGAAAAACTTCTTATAGGGGAGCGCTCCGTTTCACATTCTTCAGCTGGAGTCTAATTATTAAACAACTTTTGTACCGTGTATAGATTTCACCCGTTCGAACCAGCTTCATTTAGGGCTCCTTTTAGGCCTAAAAGCTTTCATTCTGAAAAACGCACGATCCTAGGCATTTGTAAAGTAGCCTTCTACAGCAAACAATCTAAAGGGTCTACACAAAATCTGGACTGAATATTGCAAACTAAACATGGGGAAATTAGCCCGTTCAAAGCGAAGCGCGGAAAAATCCTTCAAAAAATTTTACAAAATCAATTGCCGCACTTTTTACGCAAGATATCCTTCCGGTCCTAGTTATTCGTTTTCATAAATCACGATCGAAGTAAACAACAAGAAAAGCACAAATATCAATTTTGTTGCGTAAACTTATAATAATATCATATAACGCCTGTAATCTCTTTAACTTTAACAGCAAAAAGCGTAAAGCTCTTCCTTCAGTAAAACAAAAAAAGGAAAAAGTACAAGAGTAAATGTAAAATAATTTGCCATTTGGAAGTCTTTATGATGGTATTCCGCCAATATAATTATAGGTTTGAGAACTTTTACATAGACTCGAACATGAAATAGCACGTGTTTATTACTTAATTCAAAGGTACGTTGTGCATACGAAAGCCGTACGATTGCAACGGACGTTTATTACAGCCGTACGTCTGCTACGTAAATATGCGAAGTTTTTTTTAGTCCGTCTATTTTTTATTAGGAAAAGTTTTGCAAAATTGCAATCTACACTGTTAACTGTAAAGAGCAAATCATCATCTTTCCGAAAATGTTCGGATGACCTAACATAATTCTAGAAAAAAAGTCTTTAGGTTATAAGGCGCCATACACAAACCGCCGTGCTATTCCACTCTTTCATATTCTATCTGGCTTGGCATCTGCTTGCTGTCACTGCAAGAAATGAAACTAGGCGGTACTACGAAATATTCTATGAAGTGCACGAACAAAGGTTTATCTTTAGGGTTAACTCGAACTAAGGGTAAATTATTTTTTTGCAACACCTATAAATATTAGAGAGTAGCCTGATCTAGCTGAAATTGTTTATTAACGAAGCAAGTCTATACATATCCTATCAATGTGTTGTCTCTGTAAAAAGAATTCACTTCGAAACTTGGGTCAAAGTTGCCTCTCGCTGAGAACGAAGAAACTGATGGACTATGACCTGTTTTCGAAAACCAACGATGAATTATTGCCTAGATAGTAGACATCGGCACATTAACACTGATAGAAGCACTGTATATAGAATCAACTCATAAGACCAGCTAAACTGTTAACAGTAACTAGAACTAGTGTCAAAAGGTAACGATGAACTTACTTCTTCAACAGAAGTATCGTGTACTACAATAGCAACGGCTTATCGACAGTAATGGCAAACGAGATCGACCACACATTAAGTATTTCACACAGCCGACCGCCACCCCGATGTTGCCAGATTATAAAATCGATAGACGAAATAGCGAACGCAACATGACGGCAGCGCGACTCTACATAGCTAACGATGGATCTTCTATCCTGCCTCGTATTTTCATGTTGTCTCCCGTCGTATGGTTACATGTTCCCGTTTCGTTGTTAGCATGTGAAAAGCGGGCGTTTCCGGAAAACGGAAAGGGTCGAAGTAGGGAATAGTGACGTCTGCAGACGATGAAGACGACGGCTGACAACTGGCAGTGGTGAACCGTACAGAAACAGAGAGGGACGCGAAAGTGACAGTCCTGAGGCAGAATTGCCACACAGAGCAGTCACCGTTATGAAAAGGGTTTCTTTAGAACGCAGTCTTTACCCGGCTATCAGGCCTCTCGCACTTTGGTTTCATATCGTTGTCGCAAACATTGTATGTTTGTTAACCGTCAATTCCAGGCGAACACACGCGTCTCTGGGGCATCATCTATTTCCAATGATGACAAAACGTGCTGGATAAATGCTCTTTTGTTTCTGTTCGAAATGAAAAAAGTGCTCTTTTTTTAGCTTTAAACTTTATTGGTGACCTTACGCAACGTATACTGGCTTAGTACTAAATTATGAGCACAACAGCGTTTAGCAGTGCATAGGTACAGCTGTATGAAGATATGGCCGAAGTAAAAGCTTCCAAGCTTCTGTGAGCTTCAGAAAGATGAATCATCAGCCTTCTACTGTGCTGTCTGACGTTACATGGCGACAGAATGAGAGATTGGATAAATGATAATGAGTTTGTAAAAAGAAAATAACTCAAAGCAGTAAGCTCATGTCGGATCATCAGCATAGCGCTCCTTTGAGCTCACACGCGAGTGAGATGGATCTCAACTCAAGCTAACGAGTCTATTAATGAAACTTTCAGGGCAACTCTGAAATACTACTGATTTGCTGTCAGGCTATTTCTTATTCATCTAGCGTCGGTTGACACCTCTAAACCGGATGAAAATTTATATGAAATGACGACTAGCATATAAAGCGTGAGAAGCCAAAAGTTGCTCGATATCAAAGATGTATGAGATAGTTGACATGCGTGGAAATTATAAATCGTTTGTAAGAAAAGGCCACAGGTTTTCTCTGTGTTTATGGGGAAAATGCCACTTTAATGAAGGAGGAAGGACATGTCTATCGACATTATATTGTAAGCCTTTTATCACTCTTCTCTATAACATAAAAAAGAACCGCAAAAGTTTTGCGAATACAATATAAACGACTATAATAGCTTAAAATACTTACAATCGAGTTTTTCTTCAACGTTTCCCCGCGAAGTTACTGATAGCGCGCGGATAAACTCTTCGAACTCTATAGCTCCATCCTTATTCTCGTCAAATACGCGGAAGATAAGCGATGTGAATTTTGAAGGATCTCCCTGAAATTTACCCATCGCAGTAAAATTCAATTAATAGGTAACGCTTGCTTTCTCTAATATGCTAAATTTAAACAAAATATTCGAGAGGTCTATTATTATACACTATTTATCTCACACAATAATACAATATATTAATGCGAAATAGTAGATACGATAAGTATTATCACAAGGCTATCTTATCGCAAACAAGAGATAACTCCAAAGTTTAGTATCCAATTTAAAAATGCTAAATTAAATGTTTCATTTAGAAGAGAATTACGACTCTATGGTTCTTGATCTTCTGTATTGAAGACAGCTCAGTGTTGTGTGTTTAATTGATATTATCAATTCGATGTTCTAAAGAGCCTGCTCAGAATATGTACGTGAGAGCAGTTTCATGGTCAACAGGGAGAAAAGATGGTCGACGATCAGTTTGTTTTCAGCAGAACATTGGATGAGACGTTGCGACGTTTACTCTCGAGTAGTCGACATTACCTGCCCATTCTAGGATCGTATCTTTTATTATAAGATCTGAGCGTATGTTGGATCGTGAGAATCTGCTGTACCTCAAATGCTCGCCAATAAATCCACCTCGAACAACATCGGCGGTCCGTGGCAGAACTTTTATTTCCTTTGGGCTAACGTACGGAATCCTTTCTCGGCTGTTAGATATTTATGTTAGGTGCCTATCTGAAGAAAAAGAAATAGTAGCGGGCGAATGCGTAATTAATTAACCTCAAGGTATCCAAATGCCGAAGTTAAAGGTTTGCGTGTGAGCTGTCTTATTGTGTTTTCATTTTTATCTGTTCGGATTAAGGTTACGCTACAAATAATGGCTAAATTACACGCGTAGTGGTTGACGCCTATGGAGAGAAATCATCATGTAGGTCAGGTCAACGGAACGATAATTTTGTGATTCGAATCGAAGGTTTTTATTAGTGCATTCAGCTGTTCTTGATAAAGTGTGACGGATAACTCAGTTGAAATTTATTTTTGTTTATAAAATGTACATTGGCTGCTTAGCCCATCTTCGTTTAAGAAAAACACATTTACAAACACACACTGCCTAATGAAACACAATATTAAATATTGTAGTATATTGTGGAAAAGGATGCGGTTGTTGAGGTTAAACATATAAGCGGCATCTACCTTGGGGAAGAACAACTTGTAGATCCGAAGAAAGCCTTGCTCGGTAAGATGACCTGAAGGGCAATCCTTCACGAAACCCTTATGCCATTGGCGAATCTCTTTCTCAGTGACTGAAATATCAAACGTTTAAATTAATTGAACAATGTTAGACTCGCATCGGAGAATTAGCCCTTAGCAATATCACGTATGTAGTATTTGACCTACAATTAGTCCTCGCAACACGGCAAGAACATAGGCGTATCGGTTAGCTGGCCTTTTTTCTAATTCGCCCCCTCTATTAACTAACTGTAGTATGAAAATATGATACTAACAAGATTTGGTTGATTACTTCAATATAGTTACAAAAATGATCCCAACTGTCGTTTACGTGGGTTTGGATCAGCGGTGAGTGCATGCAATCACTGTAGAAAATTTATGATTCGGCACCTATCCCTACAGCCTAACGTGCAGGGGCTTTATGGCCATTACTAAAAGACCCATTATATGAAACCGCTGCTTGGATGTAGGTTGAGCTATGTAATCCGTATCTTGATTAATGGAATAGTACTGCAAGATAGCTGAAGATTTAACACGCACAACTTCATGCGTGGTTCCACCTTGAAAAATATAGTATATACAAATTGCTTTCTATGCATACACACTTATATAGATTATTTGTGGATTTCTAATCCATTGCTTACGACGCGGTAAAGCTTACGGATACGAACCAAGTGTAGCGTCCAAATACTGAAAGACGCTCCTGATACTTCTTGTGAAGGGGGTCCATATTCGAAAATGAATTTAGAATACGTATCGTAGCCAAAACTTTTCAGTCGAAAAGAGCCACTTGAATTTGACGATGAAACCTTGCCCCGATAATATTTAGCTACTTTCGTCTAATCAATAAAGGTTACTGTAATAACAATAAAATTATAAAGAAAATATAAGTGAAGTAACGAAGTGAGCGAGCTTGCTTCGTTTAAAAATATATATTTTTTATTTATATGATCAAAAAACACTCTAGAAGATTTGAGATAACCAGAAGAACCTATTATGTATTATTGCAGATTATGTTGCTTGTGCAAAATAGCTTCACGTGTGTTCACAAAAAACGCCTCACGATCGTGTGAGCCAACGTTTTAATACAAACATAGACAGTTCAAGACGCTTGCTTCTTATAGCGCGATCTCTTTGATTCTCTCGTCGCTTCTGGATGCTGATGTGCGGGACGAAACCTATTCCCTCAATATATGCAGATGGATAAGATCGCAAGAAAGAAGTTGGCCTCCTGATTCCGCCATATTAAGCAACATGACTACACTATGCTCACTAAACACATATGATAGCCATAGGTTGTCTGCTCGCCACTGTCGTCTCTTATTCCATCGACTAGCTAATGACAGTACCGTATCAATATTGTATGTTTATATGGTTGTAGCTATGTTTCTAAAGTATACCTTCGGTACAGAGTATCGTATTCTATTATCTATAGATACACATTCTCCAACTAGTTTATCCTCAGCTCATAGTATAATAGAAATCTTTCAACGAGTTGTGTTAATGTTAAGTTTGCGAAGTCTCTCTCATTTCAAAAATGGGAGAAAAGATATGAGGGAAACTGTGATGACGAGGGCTCAGTTGGTACGATTGGTACGTTTTACAGATACTACTCAAGTTCCAGACCGAGCGAACATAAACAGGGATCTGGGCTAGGTAAACAGCATTCGATGATCCCACCCAGTAGCTACTATCATTTCCGTTTTGTAATCGTTAGTAATAAATTAACAGTGGCGTCGTCCAGCAAAGGTGTTGATAACATTCATATATAGCCAATTTGATCACTAGAAAATAAAGCGCAGATAACGCCGGCTCAACTTTTTCGTTTCATCGTTAACGAATTCAATAAAGTCCCGAAGCATGTTTTGAAAAATCAAGTGAGATGTGAATAAAATGGTCGCGTGCACGCATATATATGCCACGTCTGTACGCTAACATATACGCTATAGTGCACGTAAGTATAAAGCATTCGTCACTGTTGTCTAGCTTTTGTGATTTTTATTATTTATTTTCCAAATTATTTAGCTCTCTTTGCAAAACGATAGGTTTTTTCGATCCAATTAGTTAAGTAAGTTCAAAGAAGCCGAAAAGGAGCGACCGATCACGTACGCACAAAAATACGCGACATCAGTAAAACACATGAAGTAGATAGACGCTTCATGGTAAATCACGCAACGACAGAGAGTCCGGGAAATGGAAAAGCTACATGATGAGACATATTTAGTCGCCTGAAAAAACCTAGCTAATTTATTTATTAGCCTAGTCAGGTGTTTACTATTTCATCATATCCGCGAAAACTCCCGAAAAAATCTTCGCCTATTTTTAAAATAAAAGAATCAAAGTAACATAGCCCAGCGTGAACTTCTAAAAAAAAAGGCTGAACCTAAATTTTTTTGCCGTATGCTGACTGAAGTATTTCGTTTGTGGTGACAACGGAACTGCATCATGCTCACTTTTGATAAGTCTGATTCCAGTTCATCTGCCAGTGCCGGCCGGCTCGACATAGCAATACAAATGAAGTGGAGGAGAGAAGGTAACCGTCTCTTTTACAAACCTATCCTATTAACATCGACTCGTGAAACATTCATACTCGGCAATATCTGACTGGAAGTAATGTAGTTGCAAAAACAAGCTAGTTTACCTGTTGCGCGCGATGTCATACATTTTCTAATTTGATTTTGCTCTAAAATTTCTCTCAAGCTATTTCTGGTAAGAAGATTTTTCTTTGGCTACTGGCAAAGAAGCAAGAACGAATAAAAGGCCAGGTTGATGTTTGCCTTAAAAGCAATATCAGTTGCGTTGTCTATTAGTTATATGGTCGTAATATTAAGTCTGTTTTCAATTCGTGCCGTACTTCCGCACGCCTTAGCATGGGCGATGATCGTAAACGCGTTCATATAGAAGTGTTCTTTTTTTCCCCGATGGGAGAAAGTAGTAGTTGCTTTCCTTCGATGTCTCCTTCGCCAAAGACCTTGCCCCTGTCCGCTACCTTCCGACGCCATAGGGCTCACATACTCACGAGAGAATGCGTAAGTAAGCGCAAAAAAGTAATAGATAGGAGGAAAGAGTTAAACAGTTGAACAGGGGAGAAGTAAGGGATATCGTAGATGGAATGGAGCAGACCGTACCGTTAATGTTTGTCTGCGCTCTCAGAACGGCGCACGGCAGATGCAAGCGCTGTAACAAAGGTCTGGTAATCGTAATTACTCTAAGCAATTTCATTAGAAGGGAAGCGCTAGAAAAAAAAGTCACATTTGCCAGAGATGATTCATAGGCACAGTCAAACGTTCTACGAAACACCATCTAGCGGAAGAACCAGGCGGCGGCGGCGGCGGCGGCTGTCAAGCCAAGTAAAGACCCAACTACAGACAACCGCTAGCTCAATTTCTTATCACGATACTTTGCGAGGTCATCCTTTTGGTGAGCCCGTTCGTTAACTGACCCCATGTAGTCAACTATTAAGAGCTACCAACAGCACGTCCAGCGTCTTTTTTCTGTGCGCCCTACTCAGCGTCCATACTTAACATAAATGAGTGTGGTAACCGGTGCATTCGTTTATAATGCATAATAGCTAGTGTGGCTAAAATAATAATATTAACAGTGATGACCGTAACACCATCGTGTCTAGCTGTGGATGCCCGATAAGTTTCGTGATCCTTTAGTTATTTTTCCTATAGCATTGTTGCTGCTACCTTCGCACGCTTTTCGCGTACATGGCGAACGGATGATCTCAGATTGTCGGGCAGACTCCGGTGTTTCCTGTAAGTCACTCCCATGCAAACTTATGGGTGGGGATGGGGACTTACCCTCAGAGTGGGCGAAGTGGGTGCGTATTTAATAGGGAGACGCAAGCACGCAGGCTGCGTGGAAGACGACAGCACCTGGCATGATATTATTGAGTCAATGAATAGCAGTTTTTCTCTCCTCGATACGGTTCACAACAGCCATTGTTGTTCCGACCACTGCAATAGAGCTATCGCTGTTCAACAGCAAACATACGACGAGCGAACTTGAATATATACATTTAGCGATAGTGGTTCGTTAGGTGTTGGTACAGCCGCCGCTGTAGTCGCCATTAATGTTTCCACACAAAGCTTTTATCAGCACTGGATTGGGACGGAGTAAATTATGCTGGGCTTAGCTACTCCACTCTTCCTGATCTAGATTTTCGATGGTTCGTTCGTACATCGGTTGTTTACATTTAAGATTATGCAACATGCCGCATGTAGCGCTCTATGCATGTGCGTCCGATGCATTACCTGAGTCTAACCTGTGCACATTGGCAACTAGAATATTGTACCTACCGGGATCAATAGCCCGTGCTAGGATTATACAATGTGTGGTTGCACGATATTGATAGATCTGGCTATATTCATGTGCGTATGAATATTGTTAAGGGTTGCCACGTAGAGCACGACCGTCAGCTCTAGTTTTTAAAATTCTAGTTTTAGTATATTAAGATTTGTAACTATACAATTTTTTTTAAAGCTACAATAGTGGTGATTAGGGATATGGAGTAGTAAGTAAGCCCTGTTCATATTGATATACATATAACGTTAGGGAATGAGATCACAAATATCCGGACGATGTTATTATCAAGTGGTAAGGACGGGCTAGTGGAGCCGGGAGTAGCGGACGTTTCGGCGGAAAATTCTCTCACAGATTCTGAAGGGAACTGCGCATGCTGAACATGCAGTAACTTGTATAGAGCTGGCTGATTTTGCCATGGCAGCCTGCGTTTGTCGAATTTCTCCAGTTGTTAGATACCCACAGTGTCAATGGCTTCTAATAGCTCTCTATCTGAAATATGGCGCTTGGAAAATATTTCGCCCAATATTCTAAAAAATATGGAAGTAGATTAAAGCGGTCGAGTGAGTGTGTTAGAAACCCCGAGCTGGCTTTCCTTGCGAATTTATGTTACAAAGACTTAAAACGGTTTTCCAAAAAATAGCGATTAAATGAAATTAATGAAAAATCGTTGAAATCAGTGAAGCTTAGAATTTGTTCTAGATTTAGAATCCTTTGATAGCTGGAAAACAAGGTGACATTAATATATATTGAATTTAAACTGGAG